AGTCGTGGGGTTTATTTGACCATACTTCACCACACTGGTCAGTGCAGGCTGGTAAAGGGTGGGCAGCAGACTTGAGAGCAAAGAAATACAAGACAATGGATTTTTCTGCTGCCCATAATGTAACTTTGCAAGATACAACAACCTGCCTTATAATTTTCTACATAAAGGCCCAGTAGCTAGTTACGTAAAATACCTTCAGTAAAAAAAAGTCCCATTTTGACATTGCAAACCAAGGAGAAAATATAACTTAACATTTCATGCAATTGGCGACAGAATAATGCATTGCTGAAACTGAAATACTTCACCCATGGCAACATGCCATATTGTTAATGAAAACAAAGTTATAGTTTTACCAAAAAATCATGTGACAATGAACATTCGCCAAGAGATTATTCAGTCCCATGGAGATTAAAGTTGTATCACTAAAACATAATTTTTATAAAGACTTTCCAGAACAAAAATTTAAACGATCAAGCCCAAAAGGGGTTAAGCACCCAAGTATAAAATTCAAGTCCAAAGCTACTGTCAAAATACTCACCATTGGGAAGTATCGGATGATGTTATCCACAGGACTGTCAGCTATGTTCAGAACCAAGTAACTGCACACAAACCAAATGCGTTGTAATATTTTGTAAGCTGGGAAAATCAACGACAACTTTTTTCACGTAACCAAACACTGCCATTTAAAAGCTTTTGCAAGCCAAACAAGAGTATATCTGCACACAACTTAAGACCAATGACAAATACTGTATGCAGGAAAATAAATAAAGGTTACCAAGCAAAGATGGGAATGTTTATTGCAGCTGTATAACAGTGGTCAATAATTTACTGTACTTACACTGTATTAATGTTGTTCAAAAATAATTTAGATTTTAAGTATGTGACATTCAATAAACGCTGAGTCATAGTAAAATGTGGATAGTCCTGCAAATTAAGATGTAAATTTAAGACACTTTTATAGACAAATTACTTTTTTCAACCACACTTGGATTGGCAATTGTAATTTGAGTTTCGTTTACAGGTCCAATCATTGACCTACTGCATAAGCCATATTTTCCAAAGCTAAACAACGTGACCTTCAAAATGACAGCTGATATGCATTATAGGATGATTGACACTTTCACTCAGAGAGTGCCCAACTTGTGTAATTGCCTATGAACAAATAATGCATCGTGAAGATAACACCAGCATACATTAGCATTATTATGAAACGAAAAAAATCGACTTACCGTACACAATCAGGGAAGTTTGGCTTGATAAAGTTGGCTTCTATGTCTTGCCGGACACACACGATGTGCGTTATTCCTCGGCTTTCCAAGATTGGCCACTAGGAAATGCAAGAAAGACGCATATTGCACGTAAGAACAGCCACATCTATGAAAATCAATATTCAAGACATGATTAACATTTCCACGAGTCACCTTGCTTCTCATGGCAGCAGAGAAGGGTCCCAGATACAAGCCCGGTAAGATCTCCTGAAAGACAGAACAAAATTATGAATTGTAAATTATCATTGCAGCGAACACGTTTCCCTGGCATGATTCTTTGATTGTACACCGTGAAAATTAATGCTTAGAAAACTGAGAGTATTTCCTGCTCATAACTTTGTATGAACAGAGCTGTCTCATCTTGGTTCTTACTAACCAACATGTTATTTTATTATTAGTATGCATCCTTTATCAACCATAACTGGTAAAATTACAATGCAGTAATGTATTGACTTGAACTTGTGGTTCACATAACACTACCTTATTCACCTTATGCATACTGCCAGGAATTTTACATTTGCAGGGTTAAAAATCTACACCATCCCTGAAGTGTTAATGTAGCCACGACTACCTAACATGAACAATAACCCAAACCACCTGTAGCGTGTTGGATAGTTGGCTCAATATACTTATCCATAGTCAAGTAATGCAAACATTAAAAACACAACCAGAAAGTGATCCTATCACTAGCCACTTAAGTTGTATGTAAAGTACACACAAATGTCAGCAGTAGGTCGGTCGATCTTTACAAACCTGCTGAATTCAAAGCCTAAAGCTTTGCTCACAACACCAAAGCATGCCCAATCAAGCACTGTTTTTTTTTTGTATATGCGACAACTCTGTTGGGTTGCAGACAGCTTATTGACGAAAACCATGCCCCGGATCCCATCCTCCAGTGGGGGAATCTGGACACCGAGAATAAACTTTCTTGGCCACGAGACGGATGCGTGATGCCTCTATTCTTGGCAGGAGTGCCGCGTGTCAATATCAAACATGGGCGACCATTAAAATGTCTCGAACAGTGATTTCATGTGCTGACAAACCTTGGCTTGAGAAGCGAGGATGCTAATAACCACGAGGAACACATATGGAGCATGACCAACCTTCCTCTCAAGTTATAACGTCTAAGAAAATTGACAAATAATTTAGGTTTCGATTTAAAGCTATCGTGACTGCAGGGATTCATCTTCTTGGTTCTAAGTGACTTTACCGAAAGAACCAAGAAGATAAATAATTTAAGCTCATGGGCCCACAATCTGCTATTATATCCAAGTTTCCAGGTGGGCTACAGTGGCCCCAGAGGCCTCCTTTGACACGCCAGGGGAGCTGCAGGAGCCCCAGAGGCCTTCGGCAGCCCTCCAGGGGGGCTGAGGGGGGCTCTAGAGGCATTATAAGGCCCTAATTCGTACAAATAAAAAATGCACATGCTAATTGTATCACAATTGTAGCATTGACATGATCCTATCAGACAAAATACACCTATTGCACCCATTGTTAAAGCAGATAACTTTGGTGGAAATGGTGGCCAATATCTAAAGGTGCTTTAATTATTCAGTTAAACTGGAAATGGTCAATGTGTATAAATATACTGGGATGGGCCCACTATGATAGATGCTCGCCAATTTAGTTGGGTCTGGACACGAAGACAAAATTGGCAGACAAGTCGAAGACACGAACCTGCATTTCTCTTCTCATGGTGTAAGTCCAGTCCTGAAAATATATAAACACAGCAGTGTTGTTAACGTCCAACAAGTCCACAGTTACTTTTATCGCAACATTTACAATTTGTCCTCATGCATTTGATTATTTTGCGTTTTGTTTAAAAGACCCAAATCAAAAGGTACGAGCGCTCATCTCCACAGAGAAAGAGATTATCACCAGCCAGTGTTATTCACAGATTAATACAAACACCTTACAGTATCCGTAACAGGTTTTTGTTTGGTTTAGATCGCGTAAATATATAAAAGTGTCGTGAAACCCGCCACCACCCGACAGAGCCAATTAGTAAGATTTGTCACGTAAACAGAACATGCCAATTCGTTACTAGTACAGTACACCGGTGCGTTGGAGAGAAAATCCACAACATTTACAATCCGAGTACGACGTTTCGCCAGTAATACCTTACAGTATTAAGGATCAAGTGAAGCAGCTCGCCTTATGGGGGGGGGGGGCTGATGATGGTGGTCATGACAATATGGTTAGTGGCAATGGCAGTGATTTTGTTGATCATATTGGTTATGACGGTGAATATGGTTATGATGGTAGTGAATAGTGATGGACAGCTATCATACTAATTCAAATTTATAATGCGCATTCCATCCTAGGATCTCAATGCTATGGCAGTAATATTAAAGATTGTTGTCATGGTGGTGGTAATAATAATTATTAAGATGGTGGTAGTGATGGTTATAAGGGTGATGGTTATAACAGTTGGTTAGTGGTGAGTATTTGATGTGATGTGGACGGTGCGGATAACAATGACGGGGCTTAACGGACCTGAAAAGATCATTTAACTTGTATTCAGACAGAGCTTGCTCGGTCTTAGTCTGAACTCAACATCACAACAGTCATCGTGTCTCTGCTGAAGGAAATTGGGCCAGTGGCGTCAAACCCACATTCCTATGGTGTTGGTCGGCATGACCATTGCATTAATCCCGTTCCAATGACAAAGGATATACTAATTTTACCCACCTTGAACAAAAGACGGGCTTGTTCTCCCCCAGTGATTAGTTAAACATCGCGCTCTTTAACTGGCGCCGACTTCTAAGGAAAACTGGGGTTTTTTTAAAAAAGTAAATAAAGTATTAACTAAACGAAAGACTAATACAATACGCGCGGGCCCAAGCATTCGACACCATCCCCGACCTGGCCTAGAGTCCCCTACCGCTCGCGACGCGCCTCCCTCGGTAGGGGAAAACCGTACGCACCCCGGTCTCCTCGGCCTTTGCGGCGGGCAACGCCGGGAAGTCGAGGCGAACGGTGTCCATCCCTTAACTGAGGGAGATGTTTGTCCGTTGATGTTGTTAATGATGTTACTGATGTTGCTGTTGCTCGGGACACGTTCACGCGGCGAGCATCGCGGGAGCGGCGGCTGTTCACGGTCCGCGGAGGAGAAGGAAGGAGCGCCGGCCCGGGGCGGCTGCCATGTCGGACATGCCGACTCGCTCTCTCGATTCTCGACTCCGACTATTTATAATCCTACGGAATCGATTTTAACCAAACGTTCAACCCGTTTACGATTTGAAAAAATCGATTGCAGCTGCTTGTAATTGAAGGCAAACTCTTCGATTCCTGTTGTAAAACCGACAGTAAAACAAATCGATTTCTGGCAGGTGCAAAGGGGCGTGTGCGCTGTAAGCATTTGTGGTTGGAGGTCTCTGTCGCCATCTTAGGTAGGTGTGGTGGTGGTTGGGGGCACGGCCAAGCCCCACCAACGCAACATCACACCTGATGACTGCTTGTGTTGCAGTCGAAACGTCGTGAGAATTTTTTATTGTTTCATATATATTATTATTTTATTGTTTCCCTTCAACGTGACTTTACCGAAAGAACCAAGAATATATACCTGCAGGTTTATTGCCAGAAAAAAAGGGAAAAAAACCCTATTATTATTGGTTAGAGGTCTCTACCGCCATCTTAGGTAGGGGTATCGGGCAGGATGGGGAGACGGGACAGTCAGGCCCCACAACGAAACTGGTTGCAAGGCCTACGTGGCCATCTTAGGTAGGGGTGGTGGGGGAGGCACGGAAAGACCCCGGAACGCAACTGACGGCGGCACGTTTGTGGGTGACTCCATCGCAAACGTTCCACTTCACCCCCCCCTACCCCCACCTAAGATGGCGTACGCGGCGTCGGCGATGTTATAGGAAAAAAAAAAACCCCAGCCCCATCCATGTCGAGTCGGCTGGCTCCATTGGTCGAGAGGATCGGCCCCCAGAGGTCGACGTTCACGTGCGGATGAGACCCCGCAAGACCTCACCCACCCACACAGCAGGGAGGACGCCCCGGTTGTTTAGTGTGAGGATACGCGGACGTGTTCGTTCTTTGAATTGCGCGTGTAACTAATTTCCTTCCCGTCGTACGTAGCCAAACTCGTGTTCATCGGAGGTGCGCGATGAGGAGGGGTGGATGGGTGGGTAAAGCACAACAAACTAAACGCAGCAAAAAGCCAGCTCAAAATAAATTAAGTTTCCCATCTCGAGCTAGTAGCTCCAGCGCCTGGCCCCGATATCGGAGGAGCGTTCCAGACGGACGCAGAAGCGCATCTGAAAGCGCGCCGTATTTGTCATCTTAAGACATGTTGTTTGGTTCGTGTCCGTCAAAAGTCGTGCCGAGAAGCGCGTGGCTTCGGCCTCTCCGTTACGCGAGCTTCATCGCTCGAAGCATCGCAACGTCAACAGCCTCCTCATCATCATCATCCTCATCGTCGTCTTCGTCGTCGTCGTCTTCTGGAGCTGGCAATGTCGGCTTCCCTCTTTCTCCTCCGCGCTCCACCTGGGAGAGAGGGATGTGCGGCGTGAGGCAGCAGCTGGGCGCCCTGAAGGAGCACCTGCGGGGCAAGGTGTTGGGGCCGGACGGAGTGCCGCTGGGCACCTACATGTGCCAGCAGAGCCACGTGCCCTGGGCCTGCAGAGGCCCCGAATGCCTCGAGGTACACGCCAATTCACACTTGCTACACCCTCCGCCTCCCACCCCGCCGCCTCCCCGCGCGTTGTGGTGGCCTCATCCACGGCTGGTCCCACGTACGGTGCGAAAGAAGTTCCAACGTGCACGAATAACGTGCAAAACACGTGGGTTTTCGTGGCCAACACAATGGTGAATTCTAGAGTTGAAGCTTTCCGTGACTGCAAGGATCCATGCTGTTTGGTTCTATTCGGTAAAGTCACGTAGTAGGTTAAAAAAATAAAACAACAATGGTGAATGTTTTTTTTGGGGGGGGGGGGTTAGGGGGGGTTAGGGACCGTCCATAAATGACGTCACGCACCTGGGGGGAGGGGGGGGTCAGACATTTGTGACGATGTGTGACGAGGGGGGGGGGGTGTTCAGAAATGTGACGTCACATCAAAATGAGCAACTTTAAATAAATATAGACAACACGTTCTGCTTAATTAAATATACTTTTTAATACATGTTTTCTACCTACAACATCAGAGTGCAGCGCCACATTAAATACGCACGACAATGACAATACTTTAAAGCGATTTCAAGCATGTTTTATATATTCTTTTGGGGGGGGGGCAGAGCTTTGTGACGTCACATTTGAGGGAGGGGGTGTCTGACTTTTTGTGACGCCGTGTGACTAGGGGGGGGGGGTCAAAAATCGCGTGACGTCATTTATGGACAGCCCCTTAGGACACGTACTACTAGACCAGGGGTCGTCACACTACCGACAAAAGCCATTTGTTTTTCGAATTCGATAAAAAAATTTTTAAACGCTTCAAGAGCGGCAATGCAATGCGAATAACAACGATACGTTGCGTGATCCTTAATAAATAACGTCACTTTAAAGAGCCGCAGTTTTGCCGACCCCTGTAACTAGATATAGACTAAAAGAAGTAAAATTAAAAGCAAACTTTTTTTTTTAAACCACGCTTTAATGAAATGTACCCCACTAGTAGTGGCAGAACTCCACGACTCCAGGAAGTGGGCCCGAAGCTTGCCACAACGTGAGTTGACCGTGGACAATTAGACCCAAGCCGAAACATAACATGTACAAATTTACGTTTAAAATATATAAATTTATTTTTTAATGATAGAATATAGTATTGTCATCAGTATGACATAAGTATACCAAGTTTGCAGTCGATACCACGTTGGGAAGTGGGTTAAAATTGAGTTACAGGATTTGAGGACAACAACAACAACAGACGGAGTGAGTTAAATTAAAGCGTGTAAATAATTTATTATTAACCCCACCACCGCCACGATCGGGCATGAGTAACACGCTTACAAAGATATAATTCTACGTGCACAATCGATGTTTAGTGCTTGACGACATTGTCAAGTGGTGGGAAGGTTAATGACAAACACGTTGGCATAAACCAGGTGGCCTAAGCAACAACAAAACACAACCGTGGTTTACGTTTGGTTTGTAGTAGTTAAGTGACAACCGGTAAACCTTTTTTTATTTAAAGCTTTCATGACTGCAGGGATTCATATTCTTGGTTCTTCCGGTAAAGTCACGTAGAAGGGAAGCAATAAAATAATAATATATATAAAACAATAAAAATTCTCACGACGTTTCGACCATAACGCAAACGGTCATCATCAGGTGTGAAAACCCAACGGCAAGAAACATTTGCCGTTGGTTTTTCACACCTGATGATGACCGTTTGCGTTATGGTCGAAACGTCGTGAGAATTTTTATTGTTTTATATATATTATTATTTTATTGCTTCCCTTCTACGTGACTTTACCGGAAGAACCAAGAATATGAATCCCTGCAGTCATGAAAGCTTTAAATAAAAAAAGGTTTACCGGTTGTCACTTAACTACTACAAACCAAACGTAAACCACGGTTGTGTTTTGTTGTTGCTTAGGCCACCTGGTTTATGCCAACGTGTTTGTCATTAACCTTCCCACCACTTGACAATGTCGTCAAGCACTAAACATCGATTGTGCACGTAGAATTATATCTTTGTAAGCGTGTTACTCATGCCCGATCGTGGCGGTGGTGGGGTTAATAATAAATTATTTACACGCTTTAATTTAAATTATTTACACGCTTTAATTTAACTCACTCCTGATGATGACCGTTTGCGTTATGGTCGAAACGTCGTGAGAATTTTTATTGTTTTATATATATTTTATTATTTTATTGTTTCTCTTCAACGTGACTTTACCGAAAGAGCTAAGAATATTATTACAAGTACTGTGTGTGGTTAATGCAGACATGGTTCCTTGCAAAAGGTTTATGTTTGGTGTTTGAACCGCTGAATAACTCCTGTTTCATTTACCATACTTTGATACTGGCAAAAAAGGTCCCGTGTTATTGTTGTTAAGTTGCCGCGCAGGGACTTGGGGTCGAACCTGCGAAACTCTGGCTTGCTAGTTTTGGCATCTCGCTTGACAGCTTTGATGGACTTGCAGTGAAAATGTATGTTTTATTAAAACTTACGATACGTTTACCGTGGATTTGATAGCGTACAACATATGCATCGTAGTATTTCCTACCAGCAGAACCTGTACCCATTTCTAACAGGACCCTCGACTTAAACTTTGTGCAGTTGACCCGCAGTGGTTTAAGCCAGCTTGACCCCCGCTGATGAGACACCGAATGTTGAAAAATGTACAGAGTTTGCGCGCATTGGAGCCAAAACTGCTCCAAATACACACTTCCCAAGTGTCGTGTGGCCTATGGGTCGTATTAAAAACAATTTATATTTTTTTAATGCCGAAAAACAAATGCGGGAAAGTGGTGGGGGGCATTGTGTCTTCAACTGTTTTGTCACCTGCAGGATTGGCTCGTCTCGTCAGATGCTGAGATGGGCGGACGCAGCCGATCGTTTTTATCGCTGAGCAAGAACAACAAGACCCTGCTCTTTCATGGCGAACTCGATAACTACATCCCTCGAGACGGCAAAACCAAGTACAGCGGGTACTGCACACTGAGGTCCAAGCCCCGGAAGGTGAGGGTCGACAGATGGTTGTGAGAGGGTCATGGAGGGGTTTGTCGTGTAGGCAAAGGTTAATACGTGGAGCCGCACGATCGGCATTGTCAGCCGCGGTCCGTCCAAAAGGCTCGAAGGCGAGGGTGACGTGAGAATGGTTTCGTCTGTGTCGTGTGTACGTGTGTTTGTTGAACTTCTTTCACACCGTACGTAGCCAACCGCGCTAATCAGAGGTGCGAGACGGGAAGGACCGTGATGACCTTTTTGAAAAATATTTCGGTGCGTGATAATTGCCAGCCATGATTATTTTTGTTCAAATTACAAATGCCCGTTGCGGCCATCGACATGCAACACCGTTGAAGAGGCAAGACCTAGGAGCTGATGGTGGGATCCTGTCAGGCCGGATTTTGGAGGCTGCTTGTCTACTGCGCAGCAGCTGCGGGAACTGGCGGAGGGTTGGAAAGCTTTGGCGAGGTCTGGGGGCGTTGACAACTTTGGTCATATGATAGGGTTTTCCCCTTTTTTCTGGCAACAAATTGAAACCTTTTTACAAGGATTCATGTCTGCATTAACCACAATACCTGCAGTCAAAATGCAAACAAAAAAACATACTATGATAATATATGCATTGTCCTTGAAACTGATTGGTCCACATCAAGGGACGGCTTTCTTTTGAGCCTCAACCCAATTGATGCTCGACCAGATGACGCCAAAAGGCCTTTTGGCGTCTGCATTGCATTTTGACTGCAGGTATTGTGGTTAATGCAGACATGAATCCTTGTTAAAAGGTTTCAATTTTGTTGCCAAAAAAAAGGGGAAAAACCCAATTATTACATTTTGGTACTGGCAAAGGAGGTCTAATGATGTAAACTTTGGTCACGATGACATCTTGATCAGAATTAATACGTTTCTCGAATAGAGTAAGGTTATAAGAGTGTTGAGAAAAGAGAGACGGTGGAAATTATTTCCAAAGGCGAGCAATACGAGGGAAGAAGAAGCAAGATAAGTGTTTTTGGAAGTTTTTTTTAGTGTGGTGCTATACGGTTGACGCTAAAGCAGGGGTAAGTAAACTGCGGCTCCCAAGCCGCATGCGTCTCTTTAAGGACTGCTTTGTGACGTTATTTATTAAGGACCACCGTCTCGATTTAAAGCTTTCGTGACTACAAGGATTCATCTTTCTTATTCTCATTCTACGTGACTTTACCGAAAGAACCAAAGAAGAAGACCACCGTCTCGTATAAATATTGCGGTTTTTTATGGAATTCGAAAAAAAGGCTCTATTTTGGTTGCCAACCCTTGTTCCAGGGCATGGGATTGTGGAAATTATGCTGCTGGATAATTTACAGCCAGCAGTGTAAACAGGTTCCCCGCGGTCGATGGGCAGGTCGTCGCATTGGGGCAAAGTCTGGGCGCTAACAACCTCTCACAAGTGCACACCTCCCTCGCCATCAGGGTTTCATGAACAAGAAGAAGGCCTTCGACTGGGGAGACATGAACGTGCTGTTCCTGCGAGTGAGAGGAGACGGGAGACCCTACATGATCAACATCAGCGTCGACAACTACTACACCCACATGCAGAACGACCTCTACCACTACTTCCTCTTCACCCGCGGAGGCCCTACCTGGCAGGACGTCAAGGTGAAATCCCGTCTTCTGCCTCTTGTCATATATACAGTATGTTAATAAATACTAATTTCTTTAGAACTGCTTTTTGTGCTTAGTTTGTTGGCCTTCCCCCCACGAACCTCCAATTAGCACGGTTGGCTACGTATGGTGCGAAAGAAGTTCAACATACATACATTTAAGAATTGGGGTGGGGGAGGGGTTGCGAGTGGAGGTACTTGGGTATTCTCACGTGCAAAGGAGGATGCTGGTTGTGGTGAATGTAACTTTCAGTTGAAGATTGGTCCATTCACGAGTCGTGAGAATGTAAAGCTTTCAAATTGTAACACGCCGGACGGTATTCTCTCGATTCACTCGCTCGTGGGCACGTGAAACCGCAGACGAGCGGGAAGGCAGCCAGGCGATGAGTTGGCGCCAACAATTTATCTGCAGTCCTCTATAGATGAAGGTGTTATCAGTCAATTAATGAGTGTTTCAGTGTGGGAGACAATTGAAGCACCTAGAAATAACCCATACATGCAAGTTGGCAACACTATCTTGAATAGATAGAATCCACTTTTTGCTGTACCTCCTCCCTGGCAACACATGCTATGGCTCCTCATCATGAACATCAGATGGAGAAATTCCCAAGGCACTGCCATGTCTCCGTGGTCTTGCGATGGCAACAACTTTTGAATATTTTTTTTCAGATTCCATTTTCCAAGTTTTTCTTGGCATCTCGTGGCAGGATTAATGATGTACAGCATCCGATTTGGACAGACCGGGTAAGGCTGCACTTTCCATCGTCTGTGTGCACCACTTAATGCTCCAACTGATCTTGCTTCAGTTACCATGTTTGCCTAGACCACCTGTTTTTGTCCACAATGATGTGTAATAATAACAATAATTATGATAACATCTAAACATTCACCTGGGATTTAATAGATGTAATTTCCCTACTCAAACAAGTAGTCATGGTGTTCAGCAAAGGGCTGCCAACAGCTCTCTGTAGGTGGCCCTGGGCATGTGCTCCAAATTCCACATTCTCATGGCAGGGGGCCAGTTTTGTCTATAGAGCTACTCTTGAAACTTGATGTACGTAAATGTTACACCTGGTCATTCACCTCCTTATCGCTCTTCTATCGCTACTACCATGGTCACTGTTCCCATGAGCTTCACTCCTTCACCTGGACTCGGGTCTACCAGACTCACTGTTTCATCTCATCAACACTGTTCAGCCACCACAGTGTAGGGGTCACAACAACTCACTCAAGTACTCACTCACCAGCTTGCAGGTCACGACACTTTTCTCCGCTTCCCTTGCACTGCTCCACTCATCATCATCATCATCTCTCTCTCCCCACGCTCAAACTAAAATATCAAAAACAGTTAAACTAACACTATCACAGAAATTACCCCCCCTCTCTGGTTTTCACACCTGATAGGCTCACAGTGATGACATCACCTTTACTTAAGACTGAAACAGGAAGACTTATTCACAATTCTGGCTAATATACTGATGAAATCGGTTGCATTTACCAGCGAAATGTCGTACGCCAATTGTCAATGTTGTGGGTTTACACAATTCCAACACACCGGGTGTGCTGAAGTAGTAACTAATCGGCACGTTTTGTTCACGTGACAAACCTTACTCATTGGCTTTGTCGGATGGTGGCGGGTTTAACGAAGCATTCATATTTACGTGATCGAACCCAACAAAAACCTTTTATCATGGGCAAGAAGCCCGTTAACTCTCATCAGTTGCAACTCCGACCCGTGCCGTTTGTTGTTTGGCTGCACGCCGTAGGTGGGGACGCTGGGCTTCACTTTGGGCGAGCAGGCGGATGGGCCTTTCCAGCTCGAAATCGACTTCATCGGCGTCTACAAAGACCCCGCGCACAGCGAGGAGTTTGCGTACGAGACGTACAAGCGGAACCCCAACGCCAAGCGGTGACACAGTTGTCGCGAGCGGCACCGCCAGGGGCGGACGGGAGATGCGGCCTGTGCCGAGGCTGCACTGCACAGCCGCACTGCTGCACGAGCGTGCGTGAGAGCACGTGAATGAGTTATTTAAAGAACTAATTGTTATATATTATAGTTATATAGTTGAGCAGGAAGCTGCCGTAAGCGTAACGGTTCAGCACAATTAGACTCGCGGGCCAAAGATCGCCGGTTGCAACCCATCTCTCGGCATGGCAGTCAAACCTATGGGGCAAGTTTATTGAAATCCCTCTGTCCACTGAGCAGTCGAAATGGGTTTACCACAGTTGATGGGCAGACCGAGTGTGGTGGGATAAAGTGTGGCCACTCCCTCTGTTTCCAACACATGTGGTTAGAGTATGAGACTAGCGGATGCCCTTCTGGCAGTAGTGGCATGACAAAGCAATTTCAGAGACCCGTGTGTTGAACTTCTTTCGCACCATACGTAGCCAATTGTGCTAATCGGAACCTATGTTCAGGTTTCCCTCGCTTCGTGCGGGTTCGGTTTGTGCAGTTTTGAGTATATGCGGTTAATCTATTTGTAACCAAAAATTCGCTATGTGGTTTGAATTCACTCCACATGTGGTCTGGACATGGGACAACATTACACTATGTACTGTATGCACTACTCAGCAGGTAGCTGTCTCATACGGTTTTTCTTTGTACACATCTATCGCATAAAGCGAGGGAAGCCTGTATACTAAATTAATAGTTATGCAAAACGTGTAAAAACAAAGTGAGCAAAGATGTATTGTTATTAACAATAACAAAAAGCCACGTTTGAGATCCGAGTGTTAATAAATTACTTTTATTGCAAAACAGCCACCCGTTTGATAAGAGGTTGCATGAAAGAATTTCATGGGGAACATTCACCTCGAGCGCCCCGTGGAGTTGTGTTTAAGGAGAGGGCTTCACCAGCTCCACAGCTCTCCCCCCACAGTCCAAAAAGAGCAAAATCACCACTGGCCTATTTTTTGCTCAATGCTGTATTGTTACAATGACGTAACTCTTAAATTCACAAATGCACGGCTCTAAAGCAGCTTGCTCACAACACGCTTCCAAGCAGCCCACCGCTGGTCAACAAGAAAGCACAATCACCACTGCCCTATTTTTGCTCAATGCTGTATTGTTACAATGACGTAACTCTTAAATGCACGGCTCTAAAGCAGCTTGCTCACAACACGCTTGCACGCAGCCCACTGCTGGTCTACAAGAGAGCAAAATCACCACTGGCCTAGGCTGTTGTTTGATAAATGTAGCATTTTAACAATACACCTTAACTCCAATTCACCCATGCCACGGCTCTTAATTTTTCCCATTCTGAGACAACTAAGTTACAGGGTGGGTACGGTTCACCGGTCAATACGGAACGCGCAAGCAGTTAGCGTTAATTTTATTTAGTAAGTCATTGCGCTGTTTTTAAAAGACATTACACTCACCACAGAACTGCAGCGATACGACTGCATTCTACGATAGCCGGCGCCAAACTGCCACGCCCTCCCGCAAGGCTTTGTGGGAGCCTCGGTACCGATAAAGTTATTTTGGTTTTTGCATGTATTTTGAACATCTTTCGCACCGTATGTAGCCAAATGTGTTAATCGTACGTCATCGGAATGGAATAAAAAGAAAAACCGATGACATACACGTACGAACAGGAAATGATTTAGCAGCTTGCTGAAAACACATTCACCTTGCCCTGCTGTGGTGTGCCAGACTGCAAGAGCACGACCAGTATTTGCAAGAGCACGACCAGTATTTTCCCGTTTTGTAGAAATTCCATTTTAACAATACGCCTTGGCTTTGTAAAGAGTAAATAATGACAGCCTGAAACTCACCTTGGCTGCGAGCAATACCCATTCAGGATCAAAGACGACAAAAGCAACCGGCTGTTGTCATGGTTTGGGAAGTGCGAGAAGATTTAAGCTTTGTTATGAAAAGTCCATCCTGAAAACGCACCATCTGTCACAGTGTTCCAAGTGACATTATTAGGTTATACAATTGCCCTGTGTCGCAATGCGCTGGGGGTAAAGGTTCAACAGGACTGTATATAGAAATTTAATTGGGCCGGGCTGTGATTGAATCTCCAGATTCGAAAAAACCATCCCCAGTGCATTTAACAGTGCAGGAGTCGAGGGCAAGCATAAGTGTCCCCATCCTATGGCCCAACCTACAACCTTACTGTGGCTCAATTGACGAGGCACGGTCTCCGAAAACAACTCCTTACACTTGAGAAACCGGTTTAATCACGGGTGGCTGAAACCTAAATTCGCAGTCAGGATCTCGGCGGTACTAGCCCATCTGGCCACCTCTTCCCCAAGCCATCTGGCAATGTCACCAAAATGTTTACTTGGAGACGCGGAACGGAATTGGTTCAGTTTGCTGGTGCCCCATGACCTCCCGTGCGTCAGAGTAGTGTAAATGGATTGCATGTGTAATGTACTACTGGGCATTAATGCTACTTAATCGGCGCCTCCCTGTTGTGACGCACAAATGCGAGCTGTGAGCGCCACTGTGTACCACATGCAGAGGGAGTCATTTGTTCTTGAATGAAGGGTGCCAGAGATTTATAGCATTTCCCACCCAACCCGGCATTCCCCACCATCGAACGTCAAGTTTGTGTAGAGATTAACAGCGTTCACTGCAATGAACCTGGCAACCAGAGTTCCATTCCTGGCCACGGCTAACATCAGTGGCGAGTAATATTTCGAAACCCCGGATTAGCACGGTTAGCTACGTACGGTGCGAAAGAAGTTCAACATACATATTTGAACTAGTCCCGGGCCTCCCCATTCTTTACCAACCTGCACTAAACAGCCTGGTGAAGTATGGCCAAACAACACCCAGTGGCACACGTGCTGTGGAGAGACCATCGCCCCAAAAGTGGGTGACCAGCTGTAAATGATTCCTATCGCGTAGGTTTTTCGCGGGTTGTGCGGTATAGATCTCCGGACGTGATCGCGGGATCGTGCCGCGTGTTCCGCGCGAAGTCCTACGTTTCGTGCGCTCGATTCGGTTCCCGAAGAAGCTCCCGGGGGACGTGGAGCGAAACGTCGGGCATCGTGCCAAACGGCACGCAGCACGACCAGAAATGTCTCACATTTCGCTCAAGTCGTGCGATCGCAGACACAACCAAGGATAATCGGAACCGTTCAATGTGCACTCTTTAAATCTTTTAATATATTAAACAGACGTTCCCGCCCTAGTACATCGTCCAAATGCTCTACGCCCACGTTTGGATCGTGCGTGCTTTACATTGTAAGGTCTACGCGTTGGCTCGTCTGTTACAGTCACGTTGGGTTCCGGTGCCGTGCATTGGGACCGAGTCAGAATGTTGCCCATCCGCTCAATGGAGACCTCCTATGGGTGGGTCGCACCGTTGCTGCTTTGTAAGCTTCACGGGCATATTGCATTTTTTTAAACCGTTTTTTTTACTTATGGCTCTACTGGATTACACCCTACACGACCACAGTGCTGTCTTGTACAAAACCCACCTCTCGTTATACCGTTAGAACAAATCCACACCTTGCATTCAACGAATTGTCATGAGTCATGGGGCTGCAATTAAATTTAATAAAATCAACCCTCTTATGGTAGTGCCCTCTAGTGGCTGCAGGGGCGACATGAACCCATCACACGCAACAAACACGGATTTAAATAATCGATAACGTACACACGCGATTAAAGGCATGTATTTGCAAGCTTAATTGAGGAATCAATCTTTCCATTCCTACATAGCACGGCACATACAATGGCTCTGAGCAGAGGTTGCACTGGATACAAACAAGTAGCTCGGTAGCGCGTCTTAGGGTAGATTCCCAATATTCATGACTGCATTCTTAAGGAGAAAACCCTGAATAGTTTTCGGCCACCAATTGTGAATTTCAATCAAAAAATTTACTCTCAAGCTCTCTTATTCCACTCGCACAACCGAGCCACGCCAGGGCTATGCCAAGCCGGCCTGGTGTGGCTCTAGCAGGCACCAAGTTGATTTTCTCACGACAAAACAAGAACGGCTGACAATCGCGACGAGCCAGTGGAGTCGTAATGAACGACCGAAACAATTAACCCCGCCACCGCCCGTCGCTCTGCTTGGCCCAGAGATGTATGCCGATAGATGTCCTGTGACCCCAGGGCATCGTGGTTTAATTCCGGCTCGGCACTTGTAAAACGGTAGAAAGCCACCTGTGCCATGAGGGGCCCCCCGTACTGGCGCTGCTCGAATGTGCCAGTGGGAAAGGGAGTTTTGAGGGCTCCCAGATGCCAGTGCTGGGATATTTTTCATCTTGAGCATATTTTTTTTTCTTCTCCAAATCATGGTTATGTGGGGCAATTGCTTCCCCCCCCTCCCTCCCCACCGCCAATAACAGCGGACATTGATTCATTTATTCAAGAACGCTTATGTAGGCTGACAAGAGAGGGTTGGTCACAGATTATTGGTTCCACTATATTATAAACCTTGTTAGAATAGACCAGGGGATTCTCAATTTTCAGTCTCCGTGACCCACTGTGGTGCAAGGGCTTTCATTTCGACGATCGTCTCTGGCGAGTGCGACACGTAGAGGCTAAATGTGTGGTATTTAGACGGAGGAGACTGCTGGGGGCGGAGGGAGCGGTGGTTGTAAATTACCGGAGCTAAGGTAAACCATTGCCCCTAATGTCAGCAACTCAAGATTCAAAAAGGCTTGCAAACGGAGTTTCATTTTCGTATATGCCCGTTGTCGCAGTTCTGGTCTCACATCGGATCAACCTCGTTCTGAAAACAAAACAACAAGTGCAACGTTAGAATTCAGCGAGCAACAACATTTTTGGAAACAATTCTTGAGGGCATTGTGGGTAATTAACAGGCTGATGTAGTTCAGTTAACGGAGCACAGAATTAAGGTCATGTGTTCGAGGAGTTCAGGAACACGTGGATCAGGGGAGCAAATGCAAATTAGAGACATGTCGACAGCTATAAAAAAGAAAATGGGCTTGGGCAGGGCATGTCGCTGCTCGGAATGTCAGTGAAGGAATGGCAGCCAAAAGGAGAAAAGTCTCACTTCAATTGCCCATTCGACTCAACACTGCCCCGTAGGCTCAACACTGCCCATAGACTAAAGGGTGCCCATAGACTCAACACTGCCCATAGACCCAACACTGCCCACAGACTCAGCACTGACCATAGACTCAGCACTTCTCCTGTACATCAAGCAGTCCCCCCCTCCTTAACCTCCTTATATTCCTCTCTTACAGCCTCACCTCGATTGCCCATTCACTTTCTCTTCCCACCCTTTGCCCCCTCCACTCCTTCCCCATTCCTCCCCTACCCTTTCGTGATCCCCAAGTACCCATCTATCGCTGTCGCTCATTCATCAATCCTCGCACGCCCCCTGCCATCTAAATCATTCCATTCAAACACCGTTGTTTAAACTATGTGAAGCGCCTCGAGTGAAGGCACTATATAGAGAATGAGATTAGATTAGGATGACCACTGCATAGATGGAGCGATGAGATCAGTTCATGCGCATGGCTAAGTTGGATGGTGGAAGTGCTGGGCCTTGACAGATGGCGATGGCATGGGGAAGGCCTTCATCCAGCAGTGGATAGTAAACGACTTGAGACGATGACTACTACAGTGCTATCGTCATTCTCCACAGGCCCCTGATGAGATCAAAGTGCAACAAAAACAATACGAATGGGGCATTCACTTCTTAACGGAAATGTGAATTTAAACCTGGCGGCAGATTTGAAACTCTAAACCTGTCTGCCGAGATTAATATTCTACCGTGTCACCCGTAGCTTCCTTGCAACAGGGCAGGCATGCAAGCCGGCGTGGCGTGGGGCGTTTCCACCAACACTTTGGCACTTTTTTAAGGGGTTATTTTATTTTGGGCCTGTCGATACGTGGACACTTGCACCGAAACCTCAGGGCGCTAAATAACATTTGAATGAGTTAGTAAGCCTTTTAAGTTTCCACTGAACCTGAAAAGTTTGAATAGTTTTCATTTTGGCTCCCAAGTCTGGGGAACCGTGTGCGAATCCTTCCTTAAAATTGTAACACATTATTTTATTAGGCCTTCTTTGTTGTCAATTCGTATTCCAATTGTCAATTCGACATCGTGTCACAGGCAACCACAACCCGGATTCCAACCCGGAATCTCCGTGGCACTGCCTCAAGATTTCCCGAGCCAACCAACGCAACTGCGGGGAATCCTCAGTATTTGGATCACGTGACTATGTAGCGCGCAGGGAGAGTTGCTGTGCTACCTTGGAGGGGTAGTCACTGTCCTGGCTGATGTCATCAGAGCTGCTGCCTGCCCTTATGGCCTTGACTCTCTCCACTGTGTTTGACAGAGCCCTCAGGGCTCGCTCCTGCACAGGCACAAAACGCACACGAAAGACGTACGTGTAGTAACAAAGCCAGATCCCCCGTATAGCCTTCACAGACTGTTGGGGCAAGTGCTGTTAGCGAGCGGCACCTACAAAGGATGGAACGGCGCACGAGGGGTGGGTGGCCAGCACCATGCCCGGCCGCCTTTTCTCCTGAGTGGTGATGTTTTTATACATCGCACCAGGTACTCAATTGAGGCCGAGTTGACCTCGGCACGTTCAGATATCCATCACATAGTACAAGCACACGCACACATGGACTCGAGCACAAACACATGCCACAAATGTATAGAAAGATCTCCCGTATGAGCCTTCGACTGTTTGGCCAGGCACTGCAAGCGAGCACCTACGAAGGCCGGCACGGCATATGAGGGGGTGGGGGTACACCATCACCACACAGAGCCGCCTTTGTTTCCCAGTGCCAATTGTTTACAAAGTACTAATTTAAGGCTGAATTGGCTTCATGGAGGCCCCGTGCAGGTTTAGATCTCACTCACCAATGGTGTTAGCCATGGACATGAATAAAACTTGGGTTGCTGGGTTTTGCAGCAGTGTGCTACTACTACATCACTCCCAGGACAACACACACACAGGTACACACATGCACACACGGGCACACACAGGCAGGTGTGTACACACACAGGCTAGATCAAATAATCAGACAAGCACTCACATTCAAGTCACAAGGACAAAGATCCCGATGCAGCCTACAGAATTGTTGGGGCTATAGCTATTTGCGAGCGCCAAATATGAGCCGGAATGGCGTGCACACACATGTATGTGCGCACACATGTATCTGCGCATACAAAAGCGAAAGAGAGGTGCGCATATACTTGACTAAATACGGTACGGCGTTAATTGATTTTCACCACACGCACACACTAGTCGTGGCAGACATACGTGAAGTGGCCCTTCAACGACCCTTGCACTACACATGGCCTTATGCGTAACCAGGCAATGCCTCCAAAGATAGTGTCAATAAAACCCGGACAAAAATGCCCGAAGCATTTTGTGGAAGCATCTGTGAAAACGGCAAACATTCTGCAGCGGTTTCTCCATATGCGAGTGTCATCGGCAGGGTGAGGCCCGTTTAGAACGTACTTCCATCAGCTGTGCGGCAAGGTTGTTTTTCTCTTTCTGCAAGGCTTCCATACTGCCCTGCACTTCCAAACGCTCTTCCTGCAGCTGCAACGAAGAGCAGAGCAATTGTCAGAAATCCAGTCGCGTTAGGAAACTTTAAAACACTCTGAGCCGTTAAAACGTTCATGCCAATTTTATACAAACTGCAGCCTGTTCTCCTATAACGACGCAGTTGCGTTCCTGAACACCGCATTATCGAAATATCGCGTTACAGTAGATAATATATAATATAGGGGTAAATCATGGCCCGCGGTAACGCGCGAGGTGCGTATGCAGGCTGAACAAAGACTTGAGGCGCGTGCGTAGCATCTACAAGCGTCCAACAGCATCCCGCATTGTGCGATGATGCCAAGCCGAGGCAGCCGTACAAACGCTTTTTCCGAACTCGCGCGATGTAGTTCCCTTTACTCGGTTGTGTTATATCCAATTCGCACCCGCGTTATAACAGAAATGTGTTCCCCAATGCATTCAACGCACCGTATCCAATTTGTGTTTGTGAAAACACCGCGTTGTAGGAGAACAAACTGTTTTGGGAAACCAGAACCTAAAACTAAGTGTTGGCAACCAGACCCTGCTGGCTCAGGACCGGCCAAATTCTGGCCCAGAGCCAGCATTAGGGCTCCCCCCACGCTCTCCGAGCCATAGGCCGCCACCCCCCCCCCTCTCCGTAGGGCTCACTCCGTCCCACTCTGCTCCTCTGCGGCCACCCCAAAAGATTCAGGGGGCAACTCTCCTTACCGTGTGAACCTCCCTCTGTGCCTCGCAGAGGCGCTCTCTCCATCGCTTCTCCTCCGCCTCCACGCTGTTCTGCAGCCTCCAGAGGATCCCCTCCTGCAAGGGAAGAGTTGCCCCAGGGTTAGGACCAGCGGTTCCCGAGCTTTGGTTCGCAAGGCCATGGGGGGGGGGGGGTAGGTGGCCTGCAAAAATGTTGAAGATGCTACGATTTAATTTTTCACAAGGCACCATAAAAAAAGTTTCCCCAAGACGTCTCCAAGTTGGCAGGGTGGGTGGGGGGTCCCCGTTCACTGCCGAATCCTCGAAACGCGCAATCGGTTCAGCTTTAATTTCATTTAGAGACATAGCGTCGTTTTTAAAAGACACTTTACTCACCGCAGAGAACCGTAGCGACACGACCGCACTCTATGATAGCTGGCACAAAACTGGCACACGCCCTCCCGTAAGGCCATCGAATGGTGTCACCCACGACACCAAGTTGTTTTTAACAACACTCTTGTCAAAAATCATAAGCCCAACAGCCGTGCGCCTTTACAAATTTCACATAAATTTTGATTTAAAAGCTTTCGTGACTGCAGTAATTCATATTCTTAGCTCTTTCGGTAAAGTCACGTTGAAGGGAAACAGTAAAATAATAAAAAAATATATATAAATATATTGTTTTATATATATTTTATTATTTTGTTTTCCTTCAACGTGACTTTACCGAAAGAGCGAAGAATATAAATTTCACATACTTAAAATTTTACAGAAGTTACCTCTTACCGTCTTAAAAAATAAATATAGGTTGGCTTACTCGCATTTATAATGATCACAGTAAATTCTTCAACAGGCGATGCAACTAGAAATACTGGTCGGCGAGAACTTAGAACCGACGACAATGTTTCAAACTAAGCGTCACATTTAAAACTATGTTTCCCTTCTACGTGCCTTTACCGAAAGAACCAAGAATATGGTTCATTCTCTTGATGGAAGCAAGCACTCGCTTGCCAGTGTTCTTTTTGAGTCCAACGATAACGAACTCGGTGCCGGTTTTGTTCACCCGCGCGGCAAAATAAAGTCCCGCTTTCATTCTTCGCGAGGCATCGTTTTAAATGTGACGCTGACGGTGGTGAAATGGAGCCCCGAGGAAAAACGGGCGTTGGGTCCAGCCGCCCTCACCGTGTCGGCCAAGACGGTCTTGTATCTGTCGCACTCGTGCTGTGCCGAGCTGTGTGACTCTTCCAACTCCCGCAGCCTCGAGTTGAGGCTCTGCAGCTCCTGCTCGGGATGCAGATCAACAACAACAACGACGACAACAACAACAAACACGGACGTCAATAACACTACTGTTTTGATTTAAAGCTTTCGTGACTGCAGGGATTCATATTCTTGGTTCTTTCGGTAAAGTCACGTAGAAGGGAAACAATAAAATAATAAAAATATCAAACAATAAAATACGACGTTTCGACTGCAACACATGCAATCATCATCAGGTGTGAAAACCACAGCAATGATGATTGCTTGTGTTGCAGTCGAAACGTCGTGAGAATGTAATTGTTTTATATTTTTATTATTTTATTGTTTCCCTTCTACGTGACTTCACCGAAAGAACAAAGAATATGAACACTACTGTTGTTGAGGTCTTCATCTTTCGTACGGCTGCCCATGTAGATGCAGAGACAACGACTACAATTTCACATTCAGGTTGGCCAAGCCCAGATAACCGCGTCAGCAGGAGCAGCGGAGTAGTTTATCGCCGCTGTGATGTCTCCTCCTTACTTGTGGATTGGGGCATTGAGTCCGTTCTGGATGATCACAGTTCGATGAACTGTGGTCATCCAGAACAGACCGGGTGGCACAGAGCATCAGGGAGCTGATGCCAGCGCCGTTGAGGGGACTGGGTTCGATTTTCAGGTTTCAGCCGCCGGTGATTAAAGTGGGTTCAAGCGTAGCGAGTTGGTCGTCTCAGCCCAGTCGCTGTTGACTGCACAACAACATGTGACATTAAATTTTGAGCTGCACTCTCATTTGGATAAGTGTGGCTAAATTTAATCTCCGAGGCGCAAATGTATTGGTGTGACTGTCATGCGACGAACACTACCCTCTCTGTAGAGTAGCGGGGAGTCGCGAGGAGGCATCTTAGAAATAGTTCTGCGATATCCACTTCTGTGGAGCATTCTCTAACATGGGTGCCAGTGGCGACATGTTAACTACCTCGCCTGGTATACAGGAGGTCGTGGGTTCGATCCCGACCCCCGTATATTTGGAGTTTGCATGTTCTCCCCATGGTCGCGTGCGTTTTTCTACAGGTCCTCCGGTTTTTCCCTCCACATTTAGAATCAACATCACGCGTTCAGTGTATTTGGCTGCTATAAATTTCCATACGATGAGCTGCTTCGTTGAGATATCGTTTGTGGCCGGGTCGCTTCTGAAAAAAAAGCTACGTAGCTCTGTGGGGGCCTTACCTGGTAAAATAAAAAAAATGTTTAAAGTTTATAGTTTTAACATGAAGGGGGTGCACGGCTCTGCGAGAGTTCTGAACGTACTTCACAAGACGACACAGATTGCCCAATTTACGATAAATTGCGGTAAAGTGTCTCCTTCGTCCACGTAGCGTTAGAGACGAAAATATTGAAGTGTCCCCGACGTTCAAGGTCACTGGGATCGCATTTATGTAAAGTTCGGCGGACAAACAAGCAGAGCTCCTCACGCCTCGATGTACACATGCTTACCCAACCCATTCGCATTATCACCGACTACAAAATCCCAATGCAATGAAGATTTATACACAGCGTCTAACTGTGACCGCATCTCAAAACGCCGTACACAGAAGCCCTGATATCTACTTTACAGAGAGACAGAGAGGAGAAAGAGGAAGATCTTGAGCTTAGAGAGTTGCATTTTACCGCTCATTCATACCACGTCAAGATCAGAGGGGTAAAAATTGCTCAAAAGACCCAGAAGTCTCTTATCTGGATCAGCTCTCGCAGGCAATGCAAAAAAGGCTGCGGTAGCTAGCGGGCTCAAAGTCTCGGCTAGCGGCTCAAAGTCTCGGCTAGCGGCTCAAAGTCTCGGTTAGCAGGCTCAAAAGTATCGGCTAGCGGGCTCAAAGTTTCGGTTAGCAGGCTCAAAGTCTCGGTTAGCAGGCTCAAAAGTCTCGGCTAGCGGGCTCAAAAGTCTCGGCTAGCGGGCTCAAAGTCTCGGTTAGCAGGCTCAAAGTCTCGACTAGCGGCTCAAAATTTCGGCTAGCGGTTCAAAATCTGGGCTAGCGACTCAAAATCTGGGCTAGTGACTAAAAGTCTCAGCTATTGGCTCAAAGTTTAAGCTAGTGGTTCAAAGACTCGGCTAGTAGCTAAAAGTCTCGACTCGTGCCTGAAAGTCTCAGCTCGTGGCTCAAAGTTTAAGATCGTGGCTCAAAGTTTCGGCTAGTGGCTAACAGTCTCAGCTCGTGGCTCAAAGTTTCAGCTAGTGGCTCAAAGTCTCGGCTAGTGGCTAAAAGTATCGGCTCGTGGCTAAAAGTCTCGGCTAGTGGCTCAAAGACTCGGCTCATGACTCAAAGTGTTGAGTAGTGGGTCAAAGTCTCAGCTAATGGCTCAAACTTTCGGCTAGCGGGGTCAAAATATTGCGGTGGGAGAGCTCTGGGCTGTGACTCACGTCCGCGCTGCAGCTGTGCCGAGACCCCAGGTCGCTCCACCTCCTCTCCACCAGCTCCAGGATCTCTCTGTGGCTCTGTGAAGAAGGGCAGAAAGAATTTGTGCATGGGCACCGCTGTCGCCACTCCAGTGGAGCCACCCGGGCTTCACCGAGCTCACAAGTGAGCAGCTGCGAGGTCGTTAAAAGTGAGCCTCGAGATCCCGGCACCAATCCATCGATTAACCCATTTTTAACCCAACGTGAAGGTACGGTCGCGCCCAATAACTGCGGTCGGCAGCACACCAGCAACAACACAGCGGCACCGATTGTCCCAGGCAGCAGAGGACGCCGTCTGGATACAACCCCCCCCCCCACCCCAGAAATGTTGTGGTGTCTGGCCCCATCTTACATCGTGCACCCACTCGCACATTAGCACACCCGCTCGCAAATCCACGTTGTGGCAATGAAAGCCACGTAGCGGATTACGAGACGCAACACTCCACCACCAAACCCCCCCCCCCGCACACCCCCACCCCTACACCCCCACCACCCCCGCCCCCGCCCCCCACACCCCCCAAACAACCTGCGCAAGTTTTGCTTTAAAAAACACCGGGAACATGAGACTCGTTTCATAACAATCGGAAGAATACGGTAATCGCCACGTGCATCGAAAACACGTCTCTGTGAAGAGCAGAGGCAGCCACTAGATGGTGTGAGAGTCGAGGCCCCATGAAGTAGGGCGGGGGACCCTCCTGGGCTTGGCGAGATGTTAACTGCCTCGCCGGGTATGCAGGAGTTTGTGGGTTCGATCCCGATCTCTGTTGTATATTTGGAGTCTGCGGTGTCTCCGTCGCTCACCCCGTGGGTCGTGTGGATTTTTCTCCGGGTCATCCGGTTTTTCCCCCCTCCACATTTAGAATCAACAACGTGCGTTTTAGAGTATTTGGCTGCTATAAATTTCCACGCGGTGATGAGCCACTTCTCGTTTAGTGATAATTTGTGACAGGCAGGGTCGCTTCTGAAAGAGCTACATAGCTCAGTTGGCCTTACCTGGTAAAAAAAAATAGCTTATGCAACGATACGTTGACTTTCGTCCACTTGACTTCCGTCGCTTTGCTCTTTCGGACGTTTGCAATTATAACCATATTTAAAATTTCGTCCACGCGGCTTTCCTCTTTCGTCCGATCTCATCCCAAACCTTCCACGACGTTCGGGCCACGCGCCGTCTTTTTCGTTCAATCTTTGAATAGAAGTCGTTCAGTGAGCATCTCCTATATATATATTCATCGTCCACTTGCCCAAGAATAAAAATGTCAAGATATCATTTGGTTTATATATTTAGTTTTTATTTATTTATTCTTATGTTCATTTTTCTTTTATTTATGTTTATTTAAGGTTTCGCGTGCATGTGTTATACAGTTACTGTATTTGAAGCTTTCGTGACTGCAGGAATCCATACTGTTTGGTTCTTTCGGTAAACTCACGTAGGTAGAAAATAAAATAAATCACGACGTTTTGATCGCAACACAAGCGGTCGTCCTCAGGCGGAAAAAATTGAATCCAGCAGCAATTGAACTGGTCAGCAGTTATTTGCATGTACGTTTAATACATCTACTGTAGTAAAAATGCAAGCGAAATAAAGGCTCTGCTTTGACATTCGTCCATTTTTTTTACATCCGTCCATGCTCTGGGCACCTAATCAGATGAAAGTGCAAGGTATTCCTGTAGTCTTAATTAGTTTATTGTTGAGAGTGGAAAAGCAGCGCTTAACGAGCTATCTAAATGGGGGTGGCGCTGGCCGCGTGCCTTAGGACACTTCCCGTGTGTTGCCTGTGGTTATGGGCAAACACAACAGGTGCTTGGTGGGCGAGGGATGGGATCCCAATGGCTCAGGGGTAGAGAGGTGGGGGGGGGGGGCCCCGTTGCGCACAATACGTGCGAGGCTTCTGGAGGTGGCAGATAAGAGAGTGTGGTGGGGTTATTTTTAAACCCTAAAGAGTGCCGACGGTCTCCGGGGGGGGAGGGGGGAGCTGTAATGGACTCGCTTCAGAACTTCGCATGCGCGGGATTTCGTTTCGCTTCCCGCGCTCGCGATGAGCGCGCACAACCGTTCAAAATCGCGCGCTTGAGAACTGGGTCGTGTACGGTGTGCGACGGTATTCCGACGCTAACGCCTGTGGCCTCCCCACGCCGCGGCGTCGGTCGTAGGGGTTTGTCTGGCTGTACTTCACCGCACTGCTCAGCGCGGGCGAGTGAAGGGAGTTAGGGGCTGCCCACAATCTGTTCAGGTATCACTCCAACCACTCGTGTGAGCCGTGGATGGGAATCAAACTCGTGTCACTGGGTTCATAGCGCAATGTTACTGATCGGTGCATTACATCTCGCCCACATACGCACGTACACACATGTATACAAATATAAACCAACAACGGACACCTGCCATTCGCCACTAAGTGGCAGTGACGTCACCACGGCGCCTGTACCAGGCCAGGTGCAGTGTTCAAAGGCTCGCTGACAGGAGAGACACAGGCGACATGGGTTGACCGACTGAGATGACTGGCAGATGCACCAGCTGTGTTCCCCGACTGGACCAACTTGCTGCGGCAAGTGCTGTTCGCGAGCACTCAAGACAACGATCCCCAACAAAGCCTATACCAGTCTGTTGGCGACCTAGGGAAGGGTTCAGAAACCGGTTCAGATATTTGGGCTCCGATGCTTTGGCCACGAGCGGTAACCCAACTCGGGTCGCCGTGTGCGTAACGGTGCGCGAACCACTACACCGCCAGCGGCAACGCGGACACGCACGCGGACACGCACACGGACACGCACACGCACGCGGACACGCACGCGGACACGCACGCGGACACGCACGCGGACACGCACGCGGACACGCACGCGGACACGCACACGGACACGCACACGGACACGCACACGGACACGCACACGGACACGCACACGGACACATGCGCGCGTATCGTCCAGGGCGACAGAAGCTAAGTTTGGGCAGGGCGTGTGTCCACTGCTGGGAGCAGACTCCCTGCACGCGCGCGCGTCCCTGTGCGTGTGCAGACACGTCCCTGTCTGTGCGTGTGCAGTCCCCCCGTGCGTGGCGGGGGAGGTGCGAGCGAGTAATTACCACGCCTGGCACGACGCTGCCGCTTGGGAGGAGCCTCCGGGCCAGGTCCTGGAGGTCTCCCTGCACCGCCTGCAGCTGTGCTGCAAAGTCCTGCTGCTGCTGCATGTGTGCACAAAAAAAACAAAAAAACAAAGATACCCCCGTTATCGCCTGAACGGACTGTTGGGGCAAGTATATTTAGCGAGCACCTATGAAGGCCGGCACGGCGCACAAAGGGGGTTGGTGGCCAGCGTCACGCCCAGCCGCCTTCGTCTCCGAAAGTGGAGATGTTTACACACCGCATCAGGTACTCATTTGAGGCCGAATCAACCTAGGTGAGGACCGGGACTGGTTCAGACAATCGTCACTGGTGTTGGCCGTGAGCGGGAATCGAGCTCGGGTTACCAGCTTGGTAGCGCAGCGCGCTAGCCGCTCCCGCTCCAAAATCCAAGTGATGGGCAGACAATGATACACGTACACGATGAAACGCAGGTAAATCTCACAACGCACGCCAACACACACACACATGCACACTCCGTAGAGCCAAGCACAGCACATGTGGGGAGGAAGTGGGGGATTGATTCACTGCATTGACTTCGTAAATAGTTGCCATTCAGTCTTAACGCTCCATTATCTGGGGTAACGGGCGAGAGGAGGTGTAGAACGGGATCAAATAAAAAGATGGAGAATGCAAATCCCACGTACATCAGGCTACGCGCATTCACTCTTCGGCTACGGAAAACGACGGGTGAACACGGTGGCGATGACGACGGACCAAGGCCCGACCCCTCGGCCTCCACTAATTGTCACCCCGCCTGGTTCGTGCCGTGTTTCACCTCCGCACCCTGTCGTGTTCGGTCTCTGTGATGTTCGGCGTTGCTCGAGATGTTCGGCGTTTTCGATGCAGTTTGCACGAATGAGGTTATATAAAACAAAAAGTATTATTTTTATTACCGCATTATTCACCGTGGGAAAGTGATTCGTAAGCGATTTTTGTTTGTTTGGGGGTCATAAAACATTCCCTCCACCCGAAACAGCCGATTAATAAAGCCACCGGCCACGCGATGACCAAGCGTGCCGATTTATTACTGTGTCGCAACGCCCGGTGTGTTAGGGAAGAGAAACCCACGTGCACATCTCTCCCACAAACGGCCTCGTTCTCATTTCCGCTTACGCTGCCGCGGGCGGACATTGTAAGAAGCCAAACGCGCGGCGTGCGATAGCGTCGACACAGCGCTGGACGCCGTTAGCCATGCCAGGCGTCCTCCTCTTGTCAAGACGTTAATTGTTTTAGTTTGGCGTGGTGGTTGCTAGCGAGCACCACCTGTGGCTTTTATCCCACGCTCGTTCAGCCACTGCCTTGTGTTCGTCTCTCGCGAAGGGCGCGCGCAACAAACCCGTCGCGTAGCAGCTACGCCTTTGGCAGCGACGCAAACACGGATTGCTGAATCCGTCCTGTGCGGAACTTTAATGAGCGTCAGCACCTCATACGCACGGGTTTTCTCCGGCTTGCAGCCGTTCCCCCCCCCCCCCGCCATGTACGAAACACCCATGAGTGGAATCGGCCGAATATCCGCAAAACGGGGGTCCCCTCCTGAAAAGGTATTCTTTAGACTCGCAAGGCTTTCCTATATGAAGGGATTGTATTATTTAATCTAATCTCGTTTATATTTTTTATTTATATATAGAGAGAGAGCGACTTCACTCAAGGCGCTTGACCAAAGTTTACAAAACGGTGACACACGAAATGAAATGATGGAGATGGCAGTGCCGCAAGGGTTGACGAATTAGTGACAGCGATAGAGAGGTTACTTAGGGATCACAAAAGGGTGGGGGAGGGACGGGAAGGAGTGCAAGGTGCGAGGGGAGGGAAGAGGAAGGGAATGGGCAATAGGGAAGAGGTGAGGTTTAAAGAGGAATAGATGGGGGTTAAGGAGGGGGACTGCTTAATATACAGAAGTGTTGAGTCTATGGGCAGTGTTGAGTATGTGGTGCAGTGTTGAGTCTATGGTGCAGTGTTGAGTCTATGGTGCAGTGTTGAGTCTACGGGGCAGTGTTGAGTCTATGGGCAGTGTTGAGTCTATGGTGCAGTGTTGAGTCTATGGTGCAGTGTTGAGTCTATGGGCAGTGTTCAGTCTATGGGCAGTGCTGAGTCTATGGGCAGTGTTGAGTCTATGGTGCAGTGTTGAGTCTATGGTGCAGTGTTGAGTCTATGGGCAGTGTTGAGTCTATGGTGCAGTGTTGAGTCTATGGGCAGTGTTGAGTCTACAGGCAGTGTTGAGTCTACGGTGCAGTGTTGAGTCTACGGGGCAGTGTTGAGTCTACGGGGCAGTGTTGAGTCTATGGGCAGTGTTGAGTCTATGGTGCAGTGTTGAGTCTATGGTGCAGTGTTGAGTCTATGGGCAGTGTTGAGTCTATGGTGCAGTGTTGAGTCTATGGTGCAGTGTTGAGTCTATGGGCAGTGTTGAGTCTATGGGCAGTGTTGAGTCTATGGGAAGTGTTGAGAATATGGGCAGTGTTGAGTCTATGGGCAGTGTTGAGTCTATGGTGCAGTGTTGAGTCTATGGGCAGTGTTGAGTCTATGGGAAGTGTTGAGAATATGGGCAGTGTTGAGTCTATGGGCAGTGTTGAGTCTATGGTGCAGTGTTGATTCTATGGTGCAGTGTTGAGTCTATGGTGCAGCGTTGAGTCTATGGTGCAGTGTTGAGTCTATGGTGCAGTGTTGAGTCTGTGGGCAGGATAAGTTGATTCCAGTGGAGGGGTGTAAGGAGGGAGAAGGTCCAACAACGGGATTGGGCACCACAGGCAGAAGGAGACACAGAGACAGAGAAGAATGGGAAAGAAGAGGGGACAAGAGGGGGGACGTGGAAGGAGATACAAACCATGACTGGCCATGAAGTAAAGGGCCCGACGGTGGAGTCATTAAGTTGGTCCCTCGATATTGAATGAAACTGGTTTTGTGACTTGATAAAAGTTAGTATTTTTAGGAATTTTAAAAAGCGTAAACTCATTACTTTAGTAATACGTTGCAATGTTAGTACCACATCATTTACTTTTAGAATTCTATTCAACCAAAATCCTACAAAACACAAGTTCATAAACAATAATCACACACGAGTCTGCAAACAGAAAGAGTGTGAATAACAATTCTACTAAAAATAGACTATTTTTATTTTACCAAGTAAGCCCCACCGAGCTATGTAACTCTCTTTCAGAAGTGACCTGGCCACAAATGATCGCTCAAAGAAGTGGCGGCGCATCTTGTGGAAATGTATCGCGGCCAAATATTCTCAACGCACGTCGTTTCTAAACGTGGAGGGAAAAACCGTAGGACCCAGAGTAAAATCCACGCGACCACGGGGAGAACACGCAAACTCCAAATATACAGTAGGCGTCAGGGGTTGGGATCAAACCAATGACCTCCTGCATACCAGGAGAGGAAGAAAACATCTTGCAACCGTGGTTAGGAAACTTAAATAACCGGGCTAAAGTTGTGTTGTCAACACCCTCCACTGCCCGAGGACACCGCATTGTGAAAGAATGGTATATGCGCGTCTGGGTGGTGGAGTGTCATGAAGACACAAATTTGGCCCAGTAACCTAAATCTTGAGGGCCAAGGATCGTAAAAATACCGAACTCCAAAACGTTTTTTGCCGAAAGCGTGGCTGACGGAGGAGCCTGGTGTGTGAGGATCTCAAACTCCTAGAACATGGATTGTAAGGACTGGTCTGATATTTTATGTAAATGATTAGGCCGTCACACTCCTGTAAGGCAGGGATTGTCACACGTGGGCAAGGACTGGTCTGATATTTTATGTAAATGATTAGGCCGTCACACTCCTGTAAGGCAGGGATTGTCACACGTGGGCAAGGACTGGTCTGATATTTTATGCAAATGATTAGGCCGTCACACTCCTGTAAGGCAGGGATTGTCACACGTGGGCTTGTAAAACAGAGACAGGAGCTGCTGATTTAACCGCAGCCTTAAACTGAGCGGTCGGTGCCTTGAAGCTTCGTTACGAATACCTCCCTTGGGGTTGTCTCACACACACACACGTACCTACGTGTGTGTGTGTGTGCACGCGAGCAGTGGGACAGCGGTTATAGTGCGCTGCGCTACGAACCCGGCGACCCAAGTCAAATTTATGCTCATGGCCAACGTCAATGGGGGATTATCCGAATCGGTCTTGGGCCTCCCCTAGGTCGACTCGGCCTCTTATGAAGTACCTGGTGTGGTGTACAAACATCGCCACTGGGGACACAAAGGCGGTCCGGGCGTGGTGCTGGCCACCCCCTCCCCCGCCTCGTGTGCCGTTCTGGCCTTCATAGGTGCGCGCTAACAGCACTTGGCCCAACAGTCTCTTAAGGCTACCCGGGGGATCTTTTTTTTTATGCGTGCGAGCATGATGGTGGTGTGGTGCACGTTTATCTACACGAGCGTGCGTGCAAGTGTTCGGGGGCGCACTGCGCACCTGGATTTCCAACAACGGAGAACAACAGAAACTCAACATGCTCGTCAAAAAGAAAAATTATATATTTAAATTGGCGACGTTTCGGGCAATGGTCCTCCTTTCATAGCACAAGATGTGCTCTATAAAAAAAAACGCGGCCGATTTGTAGATTATTTTTTTTTCTTTTAAGGTCACGTGTGTTGTTGACGAGCGTGTTTGAGGCTTCTTGTTAACCGTGTTTGTGTACCCCCCCCCCCACCCACTGCCAACGAAGAATCGCTAAAAATTAATACGGATAATGACAGTGGGGAACACAGCAGGCAGACGCCCAGACTTTTATAACCATCCTGCATTCTTTGAAAAGGATCATTTTTCACTTCTTTCTCATGCAGTGTGGACAAGTACCCTCTTCGTGGAGGCCCTACGGCCGAGCGGGTTGCACGAGAAAACAACTGCAGGGCTGTAGCACCTTCGCCTATTTCGCATGTCGTGGATAAAATGTTTTTTTGCACGAATACAAAAAAAAAAGCAAAGCCAGAAATGCAGTTAGTATTGCTGATGTCGTTGTTGTTGTTGTTGTTTACAACCTTCGCGGCTTTGTCCTGATAAAATTTTTCCGTTGTGGACAACGCTTCGACTGCCATCCAGTTCCTCTGGCGGAGTGTCTGCGTTTAGAGAGAGAGCCGCAGTGCACAGTCACGCGCGTGGGCTCGGGCAGAGGACCGGCTTACAGAAGGCAAACACTGGCACACGCGTCAAAAAATTAAAAACAAATTCGGCGTGGAAATTACTTGACGACACAAATTGAATCGCGGTTTCGCTAAAAGAAAGCAAGAGCGGAAGTGGCGATGGAATGATAATGATGAGACAATAATTGAACCAGTTAAGGGGGGCCCCCACTGAGATGTATAGCTGTTAAATTTTGATTATTTTATTTTTTATTTTATTTTTTCCCTTTTAACGTGACTTTACCCAAAGAACCAAGAAGATGTATAGCTGTGTTTCAGAAGCGACCCTGGCTGTCACAAATGACAGCTTAACAACGAAGCGGCGTATCATTGTGTGGACATTTATAGCGGCCAAATACTCTGAACGCACGTTGTAGATTCTGATTGTGGATTGGGGAAAAACTGGACCCATAAAAAAAATCCACACGACCACGGGGAGAGAGACACACAACCTCCAAATATACAGCAGGCGTCGGGATCGAACCTACGACCTCCTGTATACCAGGCGAGGTAATTAACATCTTGCCACCGCAGCGATATAGGTCCTCAAACTACAACCTGCGTTGGAGCTGCGTAACTTTACCGACCGCCCGTTGTAAAAGCAGTGGCAAGCCATGGAGGGGGATGGGATGGGAGGGGGGGGCCCTGATAATTGCGATTGTGGTGGGAGAGGGGGGAGAGCCGCTACTAACGGGAGGAACTCCTCCATAACGTGAACACAGATGCAAGTTGGCAGCAAGGCACGAATGGGCACCGATGAAATATGAAAGCACAATTTGCAACACAGGCGATGGCACATGTACGCGCGGGCAGCACAGATAGACAAATCATAGACACCAAAATCCGGGGGGGTGAACCGAGTCGTCATCGGAAGGCGATTTTAATTCCAACTGCGCGAGAGTGTAACGCTGCCGCAAACAGATAATTTGAGCAGCGGCTTTTTGCCCCGGATTTTCGCGTTGCTCCCCCCCCCCCCCCTGACAGGGCAATGGGCCGGTAGTTGGCATGGCCAGTGGAGTTTGCTGCTGCTGATTGCTCGCTCTGCGGTCAAGGCAACCAAATGTACGGGAGGCTCAACTGGGAAACTCAACTGGGAGACGTGGCAGTAAGCCCGCAGCCCCTCGCTCTTTTACATCGCCACGCCCATTCTATCAGGTAGCCCCGCCCACTGCTCATGTTGCCCCTGCCCACCGCCCAGGTCGCTTCGCCATATGCCCGCATCATGAACAGAGCACCATGCGGGCAAAATGGGGGTGGGGGAAGGGGGTACACGGGGACACGTTCGGCAGCTCTAGAGAGATATCCGCAAGTCTCTCAAGCGCTTAACGCTAACCGCGCGCGCGCGCGAACGTTCCGCTTTACGTACGTCGTTTTTCTGCCGCTGCTTATCCAGGTCGCTCTGCAGCGCGGCCGTCTGCTCCTGCAGGGCCTGGATCTCAGCCTGGCGCTCCTCCAGCCTGCACCACGTGCCACACGAAGGTAGTGACAAAGACAAAGACCCCCCCCCCCCCGTATAGCCTGGACAGCCTGTTGGGGCAAGTGCTGTTATTGAGCGCCCATCAAGGCCGGCACGGCACACGAGGGGGTGGGTGGCCAACACCACGCCCGGCCGCCTTTGTCTCCCCCGTGGCGATGTTTACACACCACAACAGGTAATCATTTGAGGCCGAGTCGACATAGGGGATGCCCATGACCGAATCAGATAATCGTCACCGGTGTTGGCCGTGAGCGGGAACCGAACTCGGGTCGCCGGGTGTCGTAGCGCAGCGTAACGCCAACCGCGACACTACCGCTCTGGACACACACACACACAAAGATTCCACCCCCACCCCCCCCAGCCCCGCCGTGTGTAGTCTACACAGGCCGTTCACGAGGACCTGTGCAGTCCACGACAGCACATGGGGCGGGGGGGTGGCCATAACCACATGCAGCCACCTTTTCCCGCATCTCCGATTAGCACGATTTTGCTTCGCACCATGCGAAAGAGGTTCAAGCTCAACATACATACGTTGTTTCCCCGGTGCTGATATTTACGCAGGGGAAGGGCCCAGGACAAGCTCTGATATTGCTCTCCGCGGATGTTAGCCGTGGCCGAGAATCGAGTCGTTGGGTTTGACTCACTGCTGAATACATCGGCGGCCACAGAGAGTAGTGTTCATCACAATGTATGTATGTATGCATGCATGTTGAACTTCTTTCACACTGTATATAGCCATTCTAATCAGAGGTGTGGGGAAGGACAACAAACTAAGCACAAAAGGCATTTTTAAAGTAATGTGTTTTCAATCTCGATGATTTAAAAATGTAAAGCTCCAGTGGCTTCCGAATATCAGAAGGAAGAGCGTTCGAGATGGTAGCAGAAGTGCATCCGAAAGCGCGCAATGCGGCGATTGTCTTTTTGTTGGCTTGCAAAAAGCCGCTGCGAGGATGTCCGGAGTTCGCGTGATGGTTTATGTTCCTTGCAAGATAGAAATACCAGCATACTGAAATCTCACAGCTGGATCCCGGCCAATTTTATCGTGAAAGAGACTTCTTGAGTATTTTTTTTGGCAAGCCGGCTGAGACCATCATCAACTCATTCCACTTGAAAAGCCCAGTTCATCATCACGGGAGGGCGCGTCTGGGCTGGAATCGAACCCAGGATTTATTTTAGCGGTGCCAGGTCAGCGCTCTGGCCGCTGAGCCACCTGGACAGATATAGAAAACTGATAATACAATTAATGAGAACGATAATCCGATAATACAATTAACTGGAACGGTAATCCAAAAACAACTCACAATTTCTGCTGCTTGCCGATCTCTTCATGCGACCCATCTCCCTGTCGATATAAATGAATAAAAAATTCAAATATGCACTCGTTTTGTTTAATATTTAGCGTAGCTCGCAACTGTGTTTTTGTGGTCGTATTCGCGCATCCTTTGGCATGACATTCCGACATTTCGAATCAGCCCTTCTCAATCACGGACGGTTGCGCTGCTCTGCGAAGAAGCTCCCAGCGCGTGGAGCAAAACGTCGGACACCGTGCCGAACGACAAACTCTCGGTACGACCCGATAACGCGTCGGCGAGCTACGCAGCACAACCGCGAAGTCCTACGCAATAGCTGGGCCGCGGCGTTTCTACGGCAAGACGACCGAGTGACCGCACGGCTGTGCCGGGTCTTGCCTGTTTCACCGCCGCCACGCGCTCCTCAAGCCGGGCCAGCTGCGTCTCAAACTCCGCTCGCATCGCCTCCTTCTCGCGCGCAGCAGCCTGCGGGGGGGGAAACAACCCGGTCGCACGTTACCCACGAGTTTTTTTGTTTTTATATTTAGACGTTCAACCTTCGACAACTTTGGAAGAAAAACTCCCGACGTTCCGAGCGGCGAGCCACCAGACCGAAACCAAAACGAAACTATTTTTTATTTTACCAGTTAAAATCTCGATGTATTTCTGACCTGGAACTGGAACACGTACACCAAGCTCTCAAGATGAATGGATATTCAGACTACACAATCTGAAAAGCTATCACCTCAACCAGTGGGAGAGAACTATCTGAGGACCCAATCAAAACCATCACCTTGCCATACACAGCAGGGGTCACCAAAACGATTTCCAAAATCATGAACAAACACAAGATCCAGGTTCGATTTAACACGGTACATAAAATTTGTGATCTGATCCCATCTGTGAAGCATGTCATCCCTAACATGCAATACCCCGGGCGTCTACAAACTAAGCTGTATCTGCAGCCGTAGTTACATTGGGGAAACTAAGCGACATGTCTCGGACCGTGTTCGTGAACACAAGGCAGATCTGAAACACGGTAGGACCAATACCTCGGCCGTGGCTGATCATTGCTTTAATGCGGTGGGCTCACACGAAATTGATTTATCTAAGACGAAGGTACTTTGCAAACCCACTGGCTATCAACAGAGATTCGTTCATGAAGCCATCCATATATATAGACACGGACACAATTTCAACCGAGAAGATGGGTACAAACTGAGCAGTTTAAGTCATAACTGGCCGTGATGTTCCCAGCCTACCACCTTCCGATGTTAGTTGTTATTTTCGGCTCTCTCGATTTTTTAAATTAACGGATTAAATTTCTCACTAACACAGCTACCTCGCGCGTCATCCTCGAGGCTGCTGCTTCACGATCTCCCATTAACATGCTCATCTCTCACATTAACACAGCCACCTTGGCACGCTCGCCGTGGAGGATGCACAGAGATCTCCCATTAACATGATAACCTCTCACATTAACACAGCCACCTTGGCACACTCGCCGTGTAGAAGGCTCGGTGATCTCACATCAACATGCTAATCTCTCACATTAACACAGCCACCTTGGCACGCTCGCCGTGAAAGATGCTCGGTGATCTCCCATTAACATGCTAATCTCTCACATTAACACAGCCACCTCGGCACGCTCGCCGTGGAGGATGCTCAGCCATCTTACATTATCATGCTAATTTTTGCCTGGCAGCCCTTTGATTGGTGGAAAGCCCACCATCACCGCCGCGGTCGCTGCCCACCACTTGCATTGGCTGCTGACATTTGGGCTACGCCCATTTCAAACCTTTATAAGCAGTTGTCTTTAGAAGCTAACCCCCCTTTTCCTGATGACGACCGCTTGTGTTGCGATCGAAACGTCGTAGTTTTTGTTATTTTCTTTGAACCTATCTACGCGACTTTACCGAAAGACCCAAAGAATACAGGTAAAGACCCATCGAGCTATATAGCTCTTTGTCAGAAGTGACCTGGTCACAAATGATAGCTCAGCGAAGTGGCTTATCATGTGGAAATTTACAGCAGCCAAATACTCTAAATGCACGTTTCTAAATGTGGAGGGGAAAACCGGAGGAACCAGAGAAAAATCCACGCGACCACGGGGAGAACATCGGAACTCCAAATAAACAACAGACGTTAGGGTCGGGATCGAACCCACGACCTCCTGCATAAACAGGCGAGTTGGTTAACATCTCGCCAATCGCGGTGCCCACAGACCTGCGCGGCGTCGCTCCTCTTGACCTTCTCCGCTTCTTCCAGGAGACTGATCCTCTCGCTCAGCACGACATTCTGCTGGCAGGCCTCACTCAGGGCATCCTGCAGGCCTCCGACTTGGCCTGCAGCGCACAGAGCCACACGGTCACCAACGCTGGGCGAACGTCACCAAACGTCGGGTGCAACAGGCAGTGGGACGTCGCCCCTCTCCTATGCCCCCCCCCCCCCCCAATGCCCCCCCCCCACCCGCCTGTACATTTGGAATTCACTCCTCCTATCTCGCCATCTCGATCGTTGCACACCAGAGGAAAAGCTCTCCGATGTGCGTGTATTGTTCGACACTATTAGCACGGTTGGCTATTACGGTTTGAGAGAAGTTCAACATACGTACGATGTCCGACGTTTCGCCCTGTGTGTGCGCGCGGTGGAAGTATGGGGCGGGGGGGGGGTGGGGATTTTTTCTCACGGTACAACTAGAAAACACATCGGACACACGGCAGAACCGTGAAAACCTAGCTCGGTTTCCGCCAACGTGGAAATCGCGAGCGAGTTAAAAAACTTCAACCTCATCGGAACCCGCCGTGAATTAAACAAAAAAAACCTCCACCACCTTGCAGCTCGGCTCGCAGCGCCGCCGCCGACTTGAGCCCTTCGGCCTCGACTGTGGCCGCCCGCAGCTGCGCCTCCAGCTCCCGCACGCGACTCCCCGCCGCTCCCAACTCCGCGCGGAGCTCCTCGGCGGCGGCGATCGCCGACTGCCGCCCGCGCTCCTCCGCGGCCGCCGACTCCTCCTCCAGCCGCCGCTGGCGCCGCTCGGCGTCGCCCGCCCGAGCGTTCCACCGCTGCGCCTCCTCCGCCGCCGCCGCCGCGTCGCGCTGCAGGCGGCGCGAGCGCTCGCGCTCCGCGAGCAGCTCGTCGCGCTGCGCTCGCAGGGCCTCGGGGGCCAGGCCCAGCGCCGAGAAGTCGCGCAGTCGCGACTCGGCCGCCTCCACGAGCGAGCGGGTCTGAGACAGCTCCGTCTGGTGGTGGGAGGGGAGGGACAGAGAGCGAGGAGGAGGAGGAGGAGAGAGAGAGAGAGGGAGCGAGGAGGGAAGAGAGGGAGCGAGGAGGAAAGAGAGGGAGCGAGAATGAGAGAGAGAAAGGGAGCGAGGAGAGAGAGGGAGCGAGGAAAGAGAGAGGGAGCGAGGATGAGAGAGAGAGAGCGAGGAAAGACAGAGGGAGCGAGGAGAAAGAGGGAGCGAGGAAAGACAGAGGGAGCGAGGAAAGACAGAGGGAGCGAGGAAAGACAGAGGGAGCGAGGATGAGAGAGAGGGAGCGAGGAGAAAGAGGGAGCGAGGAAAGACAGAGGGAGCGAGGAAAGACAGAGGGAGCGAGGAAAGACAGAGGGAGCGAGGAAAGACAGAGGGAGCGAGGATGAGAGAGAGGGAGCGAGGATGAGAGAGAGGGAGCGAGGAGAAAGAGGGAGCGAGGAAAGACAGGGAGCGAGGAGAAAGAGGGAGCGAGGAAAGACAGAGGGAGCGAGGAAAGAGAGGGAGCGAGCGAGGGATTCTTTAGGGCGGATTCACATTGCTCAGCTTGACATGCCATGAATTCGCTCGGCCATATGGCAGCCAATCAATGGATGCCAGCCATCAGCTGGTGTACACACGGTGAGCCATTAAGCGATGCAGAGCTTTCGATTTTAAATAACGGCTGCCGGGCACAGGCCCGAAGACCCAACAAAACGCCTCCCCCCCCCCCCCACCCCCCGCCGGACCCAACCCCGACACCCGAGGCACGGGGCCACGAGGCGCGAGAACTCGGGCACAAGGGGCGCGGCGCCACCCCGGAGCACAAGTCCGCACGAGTGGGGCTCACCTTGAGCGAGCTCACGCGCGAGGCCTGCACCTCCAGTGCCTCCTTCTCGCGACGGATGTCAGCCACCTCGCTCTTGAGGCTCTCGAGCTCCGAGGTCATGTCGTCCAGCAGCTGGGTGCGTTGACCCATGATGCCAATCTCGGCCTGGCCCACACATGAACGCGCATGCGTGTAAGCACACAAGAGCACGTATAACCGTAGACGCAACAGAGATTAAAGGTCCTGCCCCCCACCCCATGCGGTTTGGGGCAAGTACTATTAGTGAGCACTTGTTAAAAACCGGCATGGCACATAAGGGGGTGGGGGGGGGGGGTGGTCAGCACCACACATGGAGTGACCTTTGTCTCCCCAATGCTGACGTTTTATCCACACCACACCAGGTACTCATTTAAGGCAGAGTTGACCTACAGGAGGCCCAGGATCGGTTCATATATTCTTCACGCCAAGACAAAATATCCATTCAGATATCTTGCGCAGCAGTGCAAACCTTTATTACACAAGGGCCCACAGAAGTGGATATCTCAGAACTACATCAGAGATGCCATTAAGTGAGCTCTAATCGACACACACTTTCCTACCTGCCCTGCTACAAGAAAGATGTTTGTTACAAGAAAGTAAAACATTTATTTTTAATTTATTTGCAATTTCAGCCACAAGTGCATAACCAAATTTAACGCGATGATTTTTTTGCACAGTCATTGGTGACGGGGCCAAGCCCATCAACTCATTACATTCGAGAACCTGGTTTAATCGGGCTATGCGAGTATCTATATATATAAAAGGGAAATTTGTGAATATGTGTGTCTGTTCAAAATGTTTAGCATACTTCCCAACGTGCAACAAACTTGAAATTTGGCATGTGGGTAGCTTCCAGACTGTACACAATGCAAAAAGTATAAAAATAGACTTTTTATTTTGGGGTGGGGGGGGGCGCAATAATGGGTATATTTTGCACGGCAAGTGAGCGGTGACGTCCCATCTGTGATGTCACCCGCATGCGGAAGCGTTACTCAGTGTGCCCGCTGACGTCACGCGCAGCGTGCCCGCTGACGTCACGCAGTGTGCCCGCTGACGTCACGCAGTGTGCCCGCTGACGTCACGCAGTGTGCCTGCTGACGTCACGCAGTGTGCCCGCTGACGTCACGCAGTGTGCCCGCTGACGTCACGCAGTGTGCCCGCTGACGTCACGCAGTGTGCCTGCTGACGTCACGCAGTGTGCCCGCTGACGTCACGCAGTGTGCCTGCTGACGTCACGCATCCCCCACCCCCCCCCCCAACGCTCCGCGTAGGCCGCGTATTAATCCAAAACGAGAATCCAAGTCCCGGGCGAAGCCGGGTAGTAAAGTTAGACAGTCTATATGCGAGTCTATCCGTCTCGAAGCGAATCATAGGTGACTGTGCCAAGCCCATCAATGCGTGACACTTGAGAAGCCGGTTATAGCACGGTTGTCTACGCAAGGTGCAATAGGAGAAGTTCAACATAAATTACATAGATTAAATGGCAGGCAGCGGCTGAAACCCGAATTCAAACCCAGGATTCTCAGCGGTCTCGGCTCAGCGCTCTGACCTCCGAACCACCCGGCCGACCTCCTGGCCGGCGATTTCTACAAATTGCCCACAAACCACTGGAAAAAGACCACGGAACGGCGTCGATACGACACCTACTAACCGCGCCTTCGCCGCCAGTCGTGAGCGGGCAGGCGGGACGCTTCGCGAGAGCCGATTCCACCCACCTTCAGGCACTCCATCTCGGAGATTTTGTTCTCCAGCATCGAGTTGTGAGTCCGCAGATCGGCCAGGTCGGCCTTGAGGCTGTCTCGCTCCAAACACAGCTCCTCCACGACGGCGTCCTGGCTCCGTGGAGACGGAGAGAGAGAAAGAGAGCGGTTACGTACGCGCGGTCACGACAGGCACGCGCTGCGACGCAGAGCAGCCACATGAACGGGCACCTCATCTGGCCCGTGCACCTGATGTACCGGTGACCAATGCATCTGTACATCAGTGGGCCATGTACCCGAAAGCCCCATGACCTATGGACCCAAGTGAATAGTGACCAATATACACGAGGTCCAGGATTGCCACTACACCACAGTGGCCCGTTCCTCTATACCGCATTGGCCCATAAATGGCCCAAGTACCTACACCACAGTGTTGAGTGCTCCTAAACCACAGCGGTCCATGTGCCTACGCCAACAGTGGCCCATGTGCCTAACACCAGCGGCTCATGTCTTTACACCACAGTGGCCCATGCCCCTGTGCCAACAGTGGTCCATGTGCCTACACCACAGTGGCCCATGCCCCTACACCATAGTGGCCTATTTATCTACACCACAGTGGCCTATGTGTCTATACCACAGTGGCCCATGCCCCGACACCACAGTGGCCCATGTCTCTACACCAAAGTGGCCTATTTATCTACACCACAGAGGCCCATGTACCTAACACCAGTGGCCCATGCCCCTAAACCACAGTGGCCCACCCCTACACCCCAGCAGCCCACGTCTATATCCAATATCCCTAGTGGCCCGTGACCACACACCCCACAGTGGTCGACCGGACGACCCACACCACGGCCGCACCGAGTTGTGCGACGGCGCCGCGGAGGCCGCCTCCATCTCGGAGAGCCGCATCTGCCACAGCGCCTTCTGCATCTCGGCCTGGCTCAGCGCCGAGCGCAGCTCCCCACGCTCGCGCTCCAGCTCCCCCGCGCGCCCGCGCTCGCCCTCGCACACCGCCTGCACCTCCGCCAGCTGGCCTGGTGGTGGGGGGTGTGTGGGGGGTCATTCAGATTCAGCGGAGCTCAGTGGGACACGATGGGACTCGACGAGACACGGGGGGGGGTTACATGACAAGCAGTTGGACTCGAGACGCAATGTGAACAGCGGGACTCGACGGTGGGCACTGCGAGTAGTGGGACTTCAATGACAAAGCTGCGGGACTCGATGAGAATCAGTGGGATTTAGCGAGCGGCAGTGGGGATGACCGACGCGCCGTGACCTATGACCCCACAAATGTATTCAGCAAAACAAGGCGTCATTCACAGAGGGGAGGCACATTTCTACACGCGAAATAACATTAATCTTCTTCAGTTGCGTCAGCATTAGCGCGCTACTCCTCGCACCGGTGCCTTGACGGGAGAAGGCGAGTTGTAACGCCGCGGTGAGAAACTCCTCTCGCGATGAACACACCGTGGCGGGGGCTTTTTCTGGGGTGGACGGTGGGGGGGGGGGTGGACGGGGGGAGGGTTTGGGCGGCTGGGTCAGGCAACGCTCAAATCCATGTCGGTGTATATCGAAGGTTTTGGCTTCACTGCATTTTTACAATCCTCGCGGGACGCGCCCACTCGCCCGCGTGGTGCCGTTAAAACATCCTTCCGGCCGACATCCCTTCCACCTTAGGGGGAACGATACGGCAAGGGGCCGTGGCCACAGAGGCCAACTCGAGCGACCCCGGAGGCGCGGACAGGAACGTGGTCGCCCGCTAACGCCCACGGAGAGACCCTTACTCTTGTAGGCCTCGTCCATGGCCACGAGGCGGACGTTGGACTGATCGAGGAGGGAGTGGCTGTCCCCGAGTTGCGCCACCAGAGACTCGGACTCGGTAGTGCGGCCAGCGAGCTGGGACATCACCGACTTCAGCTCTGACTGCAGGTCTGGTGGGGGGAGGGGGTTCACCAGGATCACAAGCATAAGTGTGGACACGATATTATTTTTCACATTGGTTTACTGTATGATAGTTGAGTTGTTGCAGCCCCTTTGGCGTCCATGCACTAGGTGCCTCTGTGGATGTGTAGGCTTTGACTTCAACAAAGCTATTTCTGTGACCAGTCACAAGCTAATCCCTCAACTGTTTCAATGCTAAATTCTCCTGTTTGATATGTAAACCCCCTTTGTCAAGGTGCCTCACTTCTCTCAACCAGCTTAAAAGACGCTGCGAATCTTAGCAGCGTTCATTGTAGCTCTGTCCTCCCGACAGGTTTGTTCCTTTCACCTGAAGAAGGCCACTTGTGTTGTGGCCGAAACGTCGTGAGAATTTTATTGTTTTATTTTATTATTTTAATCTCATTCTACGTGACTTTACCGAAAGAACCAAAGAAGATGATATTAAAACTTTCCCGTTCCGAATATTCCAAGTACAATCAATGAAAATACATTCCTCACTATTTATATTTGCGTACATCATCAGTTTTTCTTCCGATTCCATTCCGGTTACGTACGTTTACGTCATCGGAATGGAACCTTAAGTAAAAAGCCACGCGGGAGGGCGTGTGGCACAGTTTGCCGCCAGCTATCGTGGAGTGCGATCGTGACGCTACGGTTCGCTGCGGTGATTTCAGTACAATGTCTTAAAAAAAAAACTATGAACCACTTTGCGCGTTCCGAGAATCAGCGGTTAACGGGACCCCACCCAGCAACTTGCAGACGTCTCGGAACAGGAAAGGGGTTATGGGCCCGCTTGAAATAAATTTCCGTGTTAAGCAAGGGCAGATCAGGCCAGTGGCCCAGCTGGACATGTGGCCAGATGAGGCAGTTCTGGAATTGAACCCTCGCACTATCACAGCAGGGCTTGGATCGTTCGCCAGAGAGGGTTTACTGTCAAGACATGAAATGGCCCAATCAATATGAAATGGCTCAAGGGGTTAAACGCACAGTTAGCCAATGGCCCAAACTACCCTGGGTGTTCATCTTCTTGGTTCTTTGGGTAAAGTCACGTAGAAGGGAAATAATACAATAATAAAATAAACCACAATCATTTATTTTTTATTTTAGTATTTTATTATTTCCCTTCTACGTGACTTTACCGAAAGAACCAAGAAGATGAATCCCTGCAGTCACGAAAGCTTTCAATCGAAATTTACCCTGGGTGTTATAAGCGGTTTGGAGAATCGAGCATGGCCTAATGTCACCCCAATGGGCATCACACCCTTTTTTTTTTAAATCGCAGTTGCTAAGCTGAAGTCCTGAGGCCCACAGCGCAAAGCAGTAGCAAGAGAGTAAGGAGCTCGGGATAGGCTGCTCGGGTTAGGCTGGTAGTGTTAAGCTAGTAAGGGTTAGGGTCATCAATATTAATACACATTACAATATTCCAAGTACAATATATTAAATTACGTTCCTTATTCCTCACCATTTATATTCAATCGTATGCTAGTTAAAAGGTCGGGGGATACCCAGCGCACTACGGACATCCTGTACACCACGGAGAAATGTAACCAGATCATTAAAAATACCTCTAACGCCTATAAATGTGCCCACTCTATTCTGGCCAGCGTCTTGCAGTGCCCCTCGCTACCCAGACGCTCCACGAACGCCAACGCGCTGTCGCCAATAGCGTCGCGTCCCATCTCAACGATTCACGACCGGCAGCGGACCTGGGAGGAGAACGCTGGGGCTGGCACGCGCGAAAGCGGGGCCCGGCGTCGTTTCGCCGGGCCCCACGCTCGGGAGGGAGCCGGATAGCCGCGCGGCCGTGGCGACGCAACATCAGTCGGGAGGCGGCGTGGGGGTGGGGTGGGGGTGGGCGGAGGCAGGGGCCATGGACGTACCGAGGCAGCGCTGCTTAGTGGAGTGCAGCTCCGAGCCGGTCTGCTCCCATGCTACCATGATGCTGCCGCTGTGCGACTTGTTGGCCCGGAGCTCCTCGGTCGCCTCATTCAGCTGCCTCTGCAGGGCCGATTCCACCTCCTTGTGGCGGCCCTGTGCGGTCGGAATAACGGGTGGGGAGGGGTCGGCGGGGCGCGGGATGCGGTGGTACGCCAAATTCATCAAGGCGGCGAAGATGTAATGGGGGAAAGGCTATATAGGGATAAGAAGTCCATAGACTCACAAAGAGACCCGTAGACACACACAGACATTGGAGGGGCTGTGGGAGATGCCACCTGTGCAGGTAAAAAAAGGAGGTAGAAGGGAGACTGAGGGTGGGAGGGTAGAGGAGGGTGAAGGGAGGAGGAAGAGTTTGGCAAGGTGAAGGGGGGTAGCCGAGGGGTAGATGGTAGGGTCGATGGGTGTGGTAGATGTGGGGGGAGTTGAGGGGGTGGGGCAGATGGGTGAAGTAGGGGTGGGTAAGTGGGAGGAGGAGGGGGGGGTGGCTGTGAGGTGATGCAAGTCGTGCCACTGCACTCACCTGCATCTGCTCGAGCCCGGACAGAGAGCCACGCAGCGACTCATTCTCAGCCTCCAGGGCCATCATCTTGGAGTTCTTCTCCGACATCTCTGTCATGAACCGCCGGCACTCCTTGTGCAGCCGGGCCATCTCCGCTGCTTGCCTGAACGAATGCACGCACACAAAGACAAAGATCCCCCGTATAGCCTTAACAGACTGTTTGGACAAGCGCTGTTAGCGAGCACCTATGAAAGCCAGCACGGCACACGAGAGGGTGAGTGGCCAGCAGCACCACACACGGCCGCCTTTGTCTCCTCAATGCCGTTGTTTACAGACTGCTCATTTAAGGCCGAGTTTACCTAGGGGAGGCCCAGGACCGGTTCAGATATTCATCAGCAATGCTGGATGTGAGCAGGAACCGAACTCGGATTACCGGATTTGTAGTGCAATACATTACCCACTGCACTCCCGCTCCCCACAAAGATCCCCCCGTTATAGAATCAGAATATTTATTTTAAACTGCAGGAGGAATCCGATGAGCTATAAAGCTCTTTTTCACAGATGTCTAGCATGGGCAGCTCAGCAGACGCGCACACACAGATACGCACACACACGCAGATACGCGCACACACAGAGAGACACGCACACACAGAGAAACACGCACACACACAGAGACACGCACACACACACAGAGACACGCACACACACAGAGAGACACGCACACACACAGAGACACGCACACACACAGAGAGACACGCACACACACAGAGAGACGCGCACACACAGAGAGATGCGCACACACACAGAGAGACACGCACACACACAGATAGACGCGCACACACACACAGAGCCGCGCACACACACAGAGAGACGCGCACACACAGAGAGAGACACGCACACACAGAACACAGAGACGCGCACACACAGAGAGACGCGCACACACACAGAGAGACACGCACACACACAGAGAGACGCGCACACACAGAGACACGCAACACGCACACACAGAGAGACGCGCACACACAGAGACACACACACAGAGAAACGCGCACACAGAGAAACGCGCACACAGAGACACACGCACACACAGAGAGACACGCACACACAGAGAGACACGCACACACAGAGAGACACGCACACACAGAGAGACACGCACACACAGAGAGAGAGACACGCACACACAGAGAGAGAGACACGCACACACAGAGAGAGACACACGCACACACAGAGAGAGACACGCACACACAGAGAGAGACACGCACACACAGAGAGACACACACACACACACACACAGAGACACGCACACACAGAGAGACGTGCACACACAGAGAGACGTGCACACACACAGAGAGACGCGCACACACACAGAGAGACGCGCACACACACAGAGACACGCACACACACAGAGAGACACGCACACACACAGGGAGACACGCACACACACAGGGAGACACGCACACACAGAGAGAGACACGCACACACAGAGAGACACGCACACACACAGAGACACGCAACAGTTCGCCAGGTGTGCCAGGGTGACGGTCCAAATTTGTCAAATTATAAAATTAGTCACAAATTACCGAATTGGGAAACACATCGCGATCGCCCACCCCCACCCCACGACTTCGATAGCTTAGCAGGGCCCTCCTGATACGGAGTCTTCATACTCGGCAAGCCTTTCCTGGTTAAACAAATGTAATAATCTTATTAATTGGAGTTAGCGAGCACACTATTCAGCACCAATTTTATCCCGCGCGGCGTAATGGAGGAGCAGCACACTGGGCCTTGCAAATCCAGAGGTCACCTGGCTCCATCTGCCAGTTGCTGCAGTTGAAATAATGGGACAAGTTTCTCGGTCGCTTCTGAACAATAAGTTAATAATACCTCAGTGGGCTTTGCCTGGTAGGATGGGGATGGTTTAGTTGTTGTATTTGTTTGTGTTTGGGCGATTTCTTTACCTCTCTTGTACTTTGCACTCCTATCACGTGGTGTTGTAACTGTGTTTGTTGTTGTAATGTTCTTAACCCGTGCCCACTACTGGACACCTGTGAAAAAGAGCTTTATAGCTCATCGGATTCTTCCAGTATAAATTAATATTCTGAAACCCCATCCCTCCCCCGTCCGCCCCCTGCCTGCCACCGTCCACCCATCAGCATAAACTGGTCCACCACAGCGAGCCGATCAGCAGGGTCACCGTGTGGTGGAGCCAAGTGTGGGTCGTCCCACCATTTCCAAAGCATCTGCCTAGCATGGAAGAGGAGGTCAAATACCTTCTAGAGGAGAGAGGAGAGCTCTCTGGACCAGAGCTCCCTCTACTGCCGAGGCTCTTCCACGAGCAGTGGTGAGCCAATAAATTGGAGGGCTGCACCTGCACCTTCTAACTTGGACTGTTTTTTTTTTTCAAATAAAAAAAAATACGTAAAACCCACTGGCAAGTCAAGAGGCACGGGCGTGTGTGCGTCTGCCAAGCTTCAATTGGTATTAAACACGGCAGGTCGAGTCACGTACGGACGTGCACGCAAAGCCTGCCTAAACCGCACCGCACCAGACGCAGCCGACTCGACGGCCGCCACTCTCAACCCCTGCGCCAGGTTTTTTTTTGTGTTTTTGCCCTCGAGCGTCTGGGTTGTTTTTCTCTCTCTCTCTCTCAATCTTACTTTTTTTTTGCAACAGGGTGGATGGAAATGGACATGGCCGTGTCACGAGCAACAGCTGACGAGAGACAGAGTTAACTACGGAGCGGAGAGAAGGGAAGAGGAACGGAGGAGAGACGGAGAAAGAAACGGCAGACGCAGCAGTGAGACGACATCACAGAGACCACGACTGTGACAGGAGCAGCTGGGGAAAGGAAGGGATGGGGGGAGAATGGGGGAGAGGCCTTGGCCCGGCGGCCGTCTGGAACGCTCTTCCGATATTAGGAAGCCACTGGAACGATCCACTTTTAAATCATCTAGATTGAAAGAATTCATTCTGTAGAAGTGCTTGTTGTGTTTAGTTTGCTGTTCTTTTCCTCGAACCTCCGATTAGCATGGTTGGGTATGTACGGTCCAAAAGAAGTTCAACATATAAACATACATACCGGCTGACAAAGACAAAAAAGAACACCCTGTTGTCAAGTCTCCTAAGCTAAGCAGGCCAAAGACTTGATAATGATTGTACGGGTGACCATAATGCAAAACATAGACATTCCTAAGGGGATACATTTGTGAGGAAAGGACAGTCCAGCAAAATCCGTTGTTGTACTGTACTATTCTCCAAAGTCTATGCTCCCCAATATGTCAAACAACTTCCATGGCATCTCAGGGTAAGAACTAAACTATTTTTTATTTTACCAGGTAAGGCCCACCGAGTTATATTGCTCTTTTTCAGAAGCGACCTGGCCACAAATGAGAGCTCAACGAAGTGGCCGATCACGTGGACATTTATAGCAGCCAAATCCGAGCGACCACGGGGAGGTAAACACGCAAACTCCAAATGTACAGCAGGCATCGGGGTCGAAATCGAATCCGCGATCGCCTGCATACCAGGCGAGGTAGTTTAAATATCGCGCCACCGAGAGAGGCCCTTGCCCGGCAGTGGATTCGCACAAGAGCTGCCCATGTTGGGACAGCCAGCAGCGCGACAGGCGATGAGGCGAGCGGGGAGTGACAATGGCTACAAGGGAGAGAGAGAGAGAGACGGAGAGATGCCGTGCGTGCGCGTCACGTACTTGGCGTCATTCTGGGCGGTGACGCCGTTGAGGGCCTCGCGAAGGATGCCGACCTCCTGCCGCAGCTTGGTCAGCTCCTCCTGGGCCCGGCCGTGCTCCTCGCTCACCTGCTGGAACTGTCACACGGCGCCCCGCTTGCCTCGAGACGCCTGTCCGCTTATTCGTTGCCTAAACAACGTCCGCTAACTGGCAACCACCCCGCGCTTACCCGGTTTTCGATCCGTAAACGCGGGTTGGCTTTTTTCCGTGTTTTTGACCTTTGGCTGGTGTTGCTCAGATTTCTATTCACTTCATTGATGTTACCCTTTTTGGTTCTTTCGGTAAAGTCACGTAGGTAGAAATGAAACTAAATAAATCATGACGTTTCGATAGCAACACAAGCCACCGTCTTCAAACAACTTCCATGACGTCTCAGGGTAAGAACTAAACTAAACTATTTTTCATTTTACCAGGTAAGGCCCACCGAGTTATTTTGCACTTTTTCAGAAGCGACCTGGCCACAAATAATAGCTCAACCAAGTGGCTGATCACGTGGACATTTATAGAAGATGGCTCGTGTTGCTATGGAAACGTCGTGATTTATTTTGTTTTATTTATACCCACGTGAATTTATCGAAAGAACCAAAGAGTATGGATTCCTGCAGTCACGAAAGCTTCAAATCAAGTGACTCTTGCAAATGAGACTCACCTGGTTGAACAAAATAAACCTGAAGCTTGGCATTGCTCTCCTATCGCTCACCATTCTCTCACCATTCACTCACCATAACACAGCAATCATTGCTCACTCGCCACGCCTTTTTTCGTTCTTACGGTCGGTACCTTGGCGCACAACTCTCGCTTAAGACACAGTGCTGCCCGAATGTGGAACGATCTCCCAGACACATTAATTAAACTATTTGTTATTTTACCAGGTAAGGCCCCACTGAGCTTTACAGCTCTTTTTCAGATGCGACCTGGCCACAAATGATAGCTCAACTTAGCGGCTCATCATCACGTGGAGCTTTATCGCAACCAAATACTTTCCAACATGTGCCGTTATCCGAGCCTTATTTAAATCTTCAAATTGCACAAATCTTGTTGGCAGAGTTTGTAACGAATTCACCCTTGCAAAGAAGAAGTCGCCCCCCCCCACCCACTCAAAGGATTACTTAATTTCAACAAAATCCAGTTTAATCGGCAGCGTCTTCTGCCCAGTACCATTGTGCTGGCACACCCATAATAAAAAAAAGATTAAGAGTTGGGCTCCTCGATTAGTTAATTAACAATCACTCTGCCGATTATGGGATCGGTTACTCAACGAATCGGTTAACATATAGCATCAGGACCTTGGTGGTGGAGGGAGGGGAGTCAAATTGCTATCATCGCATTCCTACCGCAGGGATAAAACAATAAATAGCATTCCGACCCCAAAATCCCTCCCCTCACCTCTCACACTCCCTCCCACTCACTCACTCCCACCCACTCCCTCACACCAACTCCCTCCCACTCACTCACTCCCACCCACTCACTCACACCAACTCCCACTCACTCACTCCCACCAACTCCCTCCCACCCACTCCCTCCCACCCACTCCCTCCCACCCACTCCCTCCCACCCACTCCCTCCCACTCACACCCACTCCCTCCAACTCACTCACTCCCTCTCCCTCCCTCCCACTCCCCCACTCCCTCACTCCCTCACTCCCTCCCTCCCTCCAACTCCCTCCCTCCAACTCCCTCCCTCCAACTCCCTCCCTCCAACTCCCTCCCTCCAACTCCCTCCCTCCAACTCCCTCCCTCCAACTCCCTCCCTCTCACTCACTCACTCCCTCCCTCCCACTCACTCCCTCCCTCCCTCCCACTCACTCACTCACTCCCTCCCACTCACTCCCTCCCACTCACTCACTTCCTCCCTCCCACTCACTCCCTCCCACTCACTCCCTCCCTCCCTCTCACTCCCCTCTCACATTCCCTCCCCTCCCTCCCATCCCCTCCCTCACACTCCCTCCCTCACACCCCCCGCTCTCCCTCACCTTCACGGCGAGCTGCTGGCCCTCTGCGGCGTGCTCCTGGCTCGAGGCCTGCAGGCGCGAGCGCAGCGCCACCAGCTCCTGCTCGCACGCGGAGGCCCTTGCCCGCTCGCTGGCCACTTCCTGTGGACGGCGGGCGCGCGGTTCGACGGTCACCCCCCCCCCTTGCCCGCTTCCCGGTCAGTTTTTGTTCGCGCTCAAAAAAAAGAAAAGAAAATCAAAGCGAGTTCCCGGCTCGAATGAGCTCGTGGCGCCGCTGAAATCCCCTCAATGCAGCCCCCCCCCCCCCCCGAGCCAGTGCTGGAAATTAGACGTTCATATGGCGGGGGAGGGGGTGAGTTTATCCACAGGACAAAGCATTGTTTATCGATCCCGGAGAGATGATGGACTGGGAAAGACCCCCCCCCCCTCCCCCCCCAGCCAGGAGTTGAACTCGCAACCTTCTGATTGCGAGCCGCTCGCTCTACCGCTGAGCTCCCTGGCTCTTTGTATAGTCCGTCTAGAACAGGGGTCGCTAACCGGCGGCTCTGGAGCCGCATGCGGCTCTTCACGGACTGTTTTATTGTAGAATATACTGCAAGTGTCGTTTGGTCCCGATTCCCTTATTACGGGCCGTTTCAATGACACCGTTTCATCTGCAATGTGACCGGTTTGTAACGTGTTTTTTTGTACCACCACATTTATACATGAGCAGCGCGTGGCACGTGCCTGGTACAGCAGCTGGATTTTCTTATTTGCCTCGGCCGTCGCTTCCCTCTCAGCCACGAGGAGATTTTCATTCTCGCGCATCTTGCCTTTCAGACCCACGCCTTGGTCGGCCTGCGTACACAACAGTCGGTGTAAAGCAGCAGGTGTGTGCAACAGGGGTGCGTACAACGGGGCTGTGTGCAGAGGGGGTGTGAGCAGACAGGGTATGTGCAGACGGGGTGTGCAGAGGGGGTGTGTGTAGAGGGGGGTGCCGAGTGTGCGTACAAAGTGTGTGTGAACAGGGGTGCGTGCAGAGTGGGTGTGCACACAGGGGTTGGCGCAGTGGGGGGTGTGCAGCAAAGGGGGCGGCGGCCCAGTGTGCGGGCCAGAGTTTGATGTTCGTTAAAGACGTGTTGTTTGATGTTTATTAAGGTCGTGTAGTTTCGCGGGGAAGAGAGGTTCTCGGTTGTGTTTTGTTGCACCGTGACCCAGCGCTTTGCTCCACGTGTCGCAGCAAAGCGTGGGGTGAAACGTCGGACATCGCGCCAAACAGTGCGCGATACAACCCTTGAAGCATATCGGAGAGTTGTACTGCACAACCGCTAACACCTACTCAGTAATCACTTCAGGTGTATTATTTCCACCCACCTCTCCCCCCCCCCCCATATAAGTTTATCAGATCTCCGACGTAGCAGTGCAACCCCCCCGTGTTAAAGAACGGTCCACCGAAGCGGAGATCACAGAGCTACAACCTGAGACACCTTCATGTGACCTCTGCTCTATTCATTTATAAAACTGTCAAGAGCTGCAATTTTGCCAATTTAAGTTTTTTGTTTTGGTTTGCGCGTGTCATTCGTGAGCAGGCCGAGAGGCCATCAACCCACGAGGCCTGATATCTCAGATTCACCACGGCAGGCGGCTTTGCCTGAATTTTGCACCCAGGAGCTCGGCGGTGGACGCCAGCGCTCAGGGGCGTCACGGTGGAGAGATGTCAACTCCCTGGCCTGGTGTACAGGAGGTCGTGGGTTTGATCCAGACCCTGACACCTGCTGTATATTTGGAGTTTGCAGTGTCTCTCTCTCTCTGTCTCTCTACCCCGTGGTCGTGTGGATTTTTCTCCGGGTCCTCCGGTTTTTTCCCTCCACATTTATAAACATGCGTTGAGAGTATTTGCCTGCTCTCAGGTTCCACGTGACGAGCCACTCTGTTGAGCTATCGTTTTTGACAGACAGGCCGCCTCTGAAAAACAAGCTCATTTATCTCAGTGGGGTTTGCCTGCTCAAATAATCCCGATATATTTTTTCTGACCTGCCCCGACTGGATATCTGTGAAAAAGAGCTTTACAGCTAATCTGAATTCTCCAGCATAAATAAATATTCTGATTCTGAAGTCCTCCAAGCTGTCCGGCCATCTTCCCCCCACCCCCCCCCCCCCAACTCTTGCTTCCCCAATTGGCTCTCTCGTACCCGCGGGGGTCCTTGGCGGGGGGCGACCTCACCTCGAGCAAGGTGTCCTCGCTGATGCCCGCTCTGATGAAGTGCATGAGGATGCCCACGAGGTTGCCCGTCTCCTCGTCGGGCAGCGCCACTGCGCTCTTGATAGCTGAGAAGAGGTTCTTGTGCACATCGGAGTTCTCTTCGTCGGCTGTGGAAATTCACGGGAGGTTAGGAAATAATAAAGTTGCATAAGAACATTGGCGGTGAGTTTCACAAATTGCCCTCCCCCACCACGCACCCCCCCAACCCCCAAGTACTCATTTGGGTACCTGGTGTACTCATCACTACTGGGGAGACAAAGGCGGCCGGGCGTGGCGTTGACCACCCACGCTCCCATGTGTGCCGCAGGACCGGCGTTCATAGATGCTTCTCGCTAACAGCACTTGCCCCTACAGTTTATTACAGGCTATACGGGGGATCTTTGTCTGCCCAAACCCAAAGCCCACTTACTCGTCTTAACAGTTTGAACGATGTCATTAAATCCCACGTTTACCCACCGCACGAGCCTCACGCACGTGGAAGAACTCACCCACAATCCCACCGCTGACGCCATCCTGCCTCCCTTTTCCCTTCCTCCTCCGCCTGCTCCTCTTGCCGAGCCCGGCACTGTCGCCCGGCAGGCCCGAGGCCTCCTCCTCCACCTCCTCATCCTCATCTGCTGGGGCCACGGGCTCCTCCTCCTCCTGCAGTGGCGGTCGGGCAACGCCCTTCCCGGCCACACCGTCGGCCGGCGCTGCGAACGGAATCGCAGGGGGAGCAGCGGCAGCGGTCACGGCGGTGCCGACCTCCCGCTGCGGTGAGTGAGACTTGGATGACGATTTGGACGATGGCACGGGGGACGACGAGGAAGAGGAGCTCGAGGGAAGCTGCTTCGACGAGGAGGACGATGATGACGATGATGACGACGACGACGAAGAGGTGGAGGACGTCGTCATCGCTGTCGCCACTTCCTGCGCCAGTTGCGGCGCGATCAATGCTTCCTGCAACTGCTGCTGCTGCTGCCGCTGCTGCTCCTGCTGCCGCTGCAGCTGCTTCCTGCCACGCTTGTTAAGCGGTGAGCCACTCTGGGGCCCCACGGTGGTGTCGCCCGACTCCGCAGACGCCCGTCCCTCCCCGTTCGCCTTCTCCGCAGGAACCGGGACCTTGGCAGCCGGCGCCGGGGCGGCGCTCGCAGCCGGCGCTTTGTTCGCGTCGTAGGCCTTCGTGGTGGTGGTGGTAATGGAGGAGGAAACATCTTTAGCAGCCGGACCCTTGGTTTTGGCAACCGCTTTCGCCATCTCGTGGTTCGCCGAAGCCTTGCCGGCTGCCGACGGCCTTGCCGCCGGCGCTTGAGCGACGGGAGTTGTTGCTCCATTGGTAGCCGGCGACCTGGCCGTGGTCGCAGCCTTCTTGGCCGAAGTGCCGATGCCCACCGCTTCCTTTGCCGCCGCCTTGGTGGAATCGGCGGACTTCCCAGCCTGCGCCGAGGAACCGGCGCCCGCTCTGCCGGAATCTGGCAGCTCCGTGGCGAAACGGGTGCCACCACCGCCGTCGCCACCTCCAACCGCCGCCACCGCAGGCGAATCAGGTGACGCGTTGGAATCGCTGCGCTTGCTCTTTCCACCGTGGTTCAGTTTCTTCTTCTTGCCCTGCACGGTCGCCGGCGCCATGCCGTTGGCATTGCTGTTGGCGGCTCGCTGCCGTTTGGCCGCCGCGCGGCCGCCGGGCTGCGGCACGGCAACGGCGTTGATCGGCGCGGGGTTGATGACGTTGGTGGTGCGCGAACCCAGGAAGGCGACCGCGTCCTCCAGGTCTGCGGCGCCGTCGCCGGCGGACGACGACGACGACGACGACGACGGCGAGGAGCTGGAGGCCTCGCTGGCCGTGGGGCTCCCGCTGCGGCGGCCCTCGGCCACCGGGCGGCCGCCGTTGCGCTTCTCGGCCCGCTTGTTGCGCCGACGCTCCTTCCGTCGGCGCTGCTTTCCGCTAACGCCGACGCCGCCGCCGCCGCCGCCGGCGCCACCCTTGAGCTCCGTCGGGGACGGGCTATGCCGGCGAGCCAGCCCGATATAGGGCTTCTGGCGCATGGAGAAGGCCGACACGAGCGAGATGGAGACGGCCGAGAAGACCATGAAGCTCAGGAAGTAGGCGAGCGCCATCGTCTGGGAGTCGGTGTCCATCGCGACGGCCCGGCCGGCGCTCGCGATCGGCAGCCCGACTACGACGGCGGGGAGGGTGTGTGTGTGTGTGTGTCTGTGAACACAGCGCACAATGAAATTCATGTTACGCGGGAAAATGTCAGATTTCTTGTGCTCCGTCCTATCTCGCCGATCGGTGCGTAAGCAGCTTCAACAGACCTGCTGCTGTACCCGCTGCGTGTAAACTTCGTGCGCGATACGGCCCAGAGCAGTAGAAAAAATGCTTTACACACACACACACACGTGGTCACAACACTATAGTACTGTAGTAAACAGTATACACGTGGTCACAACACTATAGCACTGTAGTAAACAGTATACACGTGGTCACAACACTATAGCACTGTAGTAAACAGTATACACGTGGTCACAACACTATAACACTATAGTAAACAGTATACACGTGGTCACAACACTATAGTACTATAGTAAACAGTATACACGTGGTCACAACACTATAGTACTGTAGTAAACAGTATACACGTGGTCACAACACTATAGTACTATAGTAAACAGTATACACGTGGTCACAACACTATAGTACTATAGTAAACAGTATACGCTCGCACGGATGTTGACTATACGAGTGAGGCACGCCGACTGAGACCGAGCATGGGAGATGATTACCCACAATCCCGCAATGAGAGAGAAGAACCATCGGCTCAGTTGTGACCACGTGACGCTCGGCAAACAAAGCGTATACGTACTGCTCGTATTGCAAGAACCTCGCTCGTTGATCAAGTAAAAATTTATTTTAAAATGTTGCCCGTCTTGCAAAACACTCGCAGACAAAGTTACTTGCAATCCAAGATTTCACTGTAATTAAAAACCGATAAACAGCAAACAATCGAGCTGCAGGTCACGTATGGTGGGGGTAACGATCTATAACACTGCTGGATGAAAGCCTCTGTGACCCAGAAAAAAATATTGACGAATTAATATCTGAATAGCACGAGTACTGCCACCACCTTCCTCCAAGAGACAGGGCCAGCATGGAAGAGTAGGCCAAATACGCACTACAGAAGTCTCTCTAAAGCGCCACCCAGTAGAGCCCCTTTGATTCACACCAAAATATCCCCCCCCCCCCATATAGCCTTAACAGACTATTGTGGCAAGTGCTGTTAGCGAGCACCTATAAAGGCCAGAACGGTACACGAGGGGGTGGGTGGCGAGCACTAAGCCCGAGTGGCGATGTTTACACACTGCACCAGGTAACTCATTTGAGGCCGAGTCAACCTAGGGGAGGCCCAAGATCCGTTTAAATAATCGTCACTGGTGTTGGCCCATGAGCGGGAATCGGACTTGGGTCGCCAGGTCCATAGCGCAGCGCGTTAACCACGACACCACCGCTCCCCACTACCCACACCGCACGCACACAGGGTCGCGCATCTGAAACCGATTATATTATCCGAAACAAATTATATGTTACCGTACCTCGAGGCTCGTTGAACCAATAAGAGACGCATGATAAACAGGCACGACAGGTGCTAAAAATGAGACATAACAAACAATCGTGACGACTCTTCAAACATTCACCGGCCGAGTAAGTTACACTTGGCCTTCAAACAACAAAATATACAATCATCTCTGGGTCAACCACTGCAATAAATAAATAATCTTTGAATTAGAAACTACTGCACAGGAGAAAAAAGTTAAGCCCAAGTACTTTATTATTATTATTTCCTATCCAAATGAGCAGTGATGCAGCAAATAATATATTTACAGCACTCAGCTAATGGTGTAAATTCCACATTCCTATGGAGGGGGTGCAGACTCTCCATTGGACAGCCACCGTTGGCTACCCCCCCAACCTCCCACGTAGTGATACATATTTCATATCAACCTCGGGAAAAGGATTATGGGATCGGTTAACCTCCCCCCCCCCAACGACATGTGAACTCACAAACCTTTCAATTTGCCAGGTCACCAGCATGTACAGGCAAACCTTACCTAACGTGGCTTTATCAACCGCGTGTAAATTAAATTAGCACGTATTCTTGGTCCTTTCGGTAAAGTCACGTAAAAGGAAACAATAAAATAATAAAAATATAAAACAATAAAATTCTCACGACGTTTCGACTGCAACACAAGCAATCATCATCACACCTGATGATGATTGCACCTGATGATGATTGCTTGTGTTGCAGTCGAAACGTCGTGAGAATTTTTATTGTTTTATATTTTTATTATTTTATTTTTTCCCTTCTACGTGGTGGTGACTTTACCGAAAGAACCAAGAATGTGAATCCCTGCAGTCACGAAAGCTTCGGCTCTGCACGGTGTACCGAATGAGGTCTCGGTCTTCTGTAAACAGTTGCGTCTGAGTGCTGGAAGGTGTGAACTGTGTGTTTTTTTGTGTGGGGAGCAGTAGTGAAGTGGTTAGCGCTACGCTGCGGTAGACCTGGGGACCCGGCTTCGATTGCCGCTCACGACCAACACCAGTGACGATTATATGACCCAGTCCTGGGCATCCCCCTAGGTCGACTCAGCCTCAACTGAGTACCTGGTATGATGTGTAAACATCGCCACTATGGAGACAAAGGCGGCCGGGCGTGGTGTTGGTCACACCCACCCCCTCTCGTGTTGCCGTGCCGGCCTTCATAGGTGCTCGCTAACAGCACTTGCCCCGACAGTGTGTCGCAGGCTATACGGGTGATCTTTGTCTTTTTCCGGTATATTTTCTTCCGTGATGTTACATTATAATGTTACATTATCACGGGGGGGAAAAAAAATGTAGCACGCGCAACGCAAATGTTCGCACATTATTTCCGCAGGCATCTAGCCGTAAAATCGTTGAGGACGTTCGTCACACGGAGGCCCAGATGGCAAATCATCAACACTCAAGTGTCGGGGGGGGGGCGAGAGAGTGCCACGGGGGGGGTGGGGGAAGCGAAGGTTTTGCGTTGGAGATGAAATAGAAAAATAAGGAATGCACACGCACAAGAAATGGAGAGCGACTCAGCATCCTTTAGTTACAATGACAAGGGTGGTGGTGTTGGTTGTGATAATTTCAGACCCAGGAACGCAACCCTGTTGTTCCCATCATGAGGACTACTGTTTGTCGACTGTCGCTTTGCCCAACACGAAATATTCCAGGAACGCAACCCCCCCCCGCCCCCCACGCGTTCAGCGAGGTCTGACCGTACTCTTGCGATTAACATCGCTTCGAAAGAATAACCGGCCAGCTACCCGAAACAAATCGACACGGGTAAAATAAATAAATAAAGGAAACATTTACGGGAAAGCCGATGGCATTCGACGTTAATAGCGCGCACACTCGGATGGATCTTTTCGGACATCATTCAGACACTATTTTTGATGACCCAGGAATAGATTACTCGTGGATGGCCAAGTGACAGGCTCGCCAACGCGATCTTCGAGTAACCAGTATTGAGGAAACCCGAAAGGCACGTTGGGGGGGGGAGGCGGATCCGACTCGCTTCTCATGTCATCCTCCGCCGCCGCCAAATTAACTGCGCGTGAACAAAATATCGCTTTGAAATGTCAACGGCGCCATTCGTCAACGACTTCGTTGGTTGCCGGAAAAAAAAAAACACGGCCGAGCCTTTTGAATCATAGCCGTCGGTTCATGCGACGAACTGTACAACAACGCGCTCGCACTATTCCAAGAGGCGGATTGGGTCGCGGTGACGCAGCGGATACATCTCAATGAGCTGCGAGACCAGCGGCCAGTGGACCGGTTCCTGGGGAGCGATTATCCGAATCAGTCCTGACCAGCGTCAAAGTATGGTCAAAAACAATCCCCAACACCGACACTGCGTGGAGGAGTCCTTCATCCAGCAGTTGCTTGACAAAGTTGTGCACCGATGCCTACTTTATTGAGTGCGATATTGGCACGTAAGAGAAAGATTGATTGAAAGCCAGCTTTGATACAATCTACACTTCCATATCATTGATCGGAGTATCGACTGCATGAAACCAACCACTGGTCCCACAGAAGTGATTTAATGTTCAACTGGGTTCCTTATTGATTATGACATCCAATATTCCCTGGATTATAAGATGCCCTTTCTTAACTCGTATTTGAAAACAAAAGTTCATTCTTATAATTCGGTGAGCGAATGTGCGCGTGACGAGGTGTGCCCAACTTTCTTGACACCGGGCACAAGTTTTTGGGTGGGTCTTGCTTTCGAGAGCATTAGAATCCAGAGAAAACGGTAATCGTGAGAGCCGCTATCTCGTCGAGTCGAGAGTTACTGTGATAAGACCAACCGACTCACAAATGGGCTGGTCAAGGTTCACGAATCCGAGACCAGAGGGGCGGCATTCGACTTGGCCCATTATCCCCGAGAAAATATTTTAAAAAACACCCCTTTCAACAGACTAAAATCCCTGCCATGGGAACGTGGAATGTTGACAACCGTCTCAAGAGCTTCCTACAGTGATGAAAGACGATTGCATCGTTTGAGTCGGGGGCGGGGGACAGATGCCGACACTCTAAACTTGGCACGTCTATTTGTAGACGATTCTGACGCGGTTATTTCCCACCACCGCCTCCCCCCCCCCTTGTAGAAAGCCCGTCGCCTACTTCTTTGCCGAACTGATGCAACGTCGAGTAACACACGCGCGCGACTCCGGGCCCCGGTAAATACCGCATTGGTGTCATCTCTCCTGCCGAGAATTACCACCCAGGCCAAGGTGCTTGCCAACCATCAAGGTGAAGTCCTGCAATTTGCCTACTCATTGCCTAACCCGCTGTGTTTTTTATTTATTTTACTAGGTGAGGCCCACTGAGCTACATGGACCTTTTTCAGAAGCGGCCTGGCCACAAATGATGGCCACAATAAAGTGGCATATCGCGTGGAAATGTAATGCAGCCAAATATTCTGAACACATGTTGATTCAAAACGTGGAGGGGGGAAAAAACAAACCAGAGGACCTGAAGAAAAATCCACGCGACCACAGGGAAAACATGCAAACTCCAAATAAACAGGTGTCGGGGTCGAATCCACGGGCTCCTGTATACCAGGTGAGCTAGTTAACATCTCGCCACCGTGGCACCCACACTAGAGGGAGACCTATAGAGCCCCTTCTTAGGGGTAGTTTTGATTATCAACTCTTCCACTCTGGGCAGTTCTCATGGTAAAGATGGGAGTACCCACACTTTACCCCGCCAAACACAACCTTTTATACTGCCGGGTGAACACAGGGGGATTGAATAATCTTTTAACTGCCGTGCCGGGAGATTGAACCGACGACCTCTGGATTACAAGTCCAGTGTGCTGACCACTACGCCACTGTGGCATCAGCTTGTTAAAATGCTAATGTGTGTCAACATCACGTACATTAAAAAGGTCAAAACTCGCAGGAAGACTTCCAGGTGCGTTTTTTTTTTACTGCCGTGCGGAAAATAAAAATAAATTGGTTCCTCTACATCAAACCCAAGCAAGCTCAACTCACTCCGGGGCCAGTTCTTTGTCTTTTTGTTCGTGTGACGTGTGTACACCCCCACTCTCTGTCAACACACTGCTGGATGGATAAGGGCCTCTCTAAACCATTGAGTCAAACGCGGTCAATTGGACCACACATCACTGGTACTGTGCACCACCCCCCCCAACCTCCCTTCGTAAATCATCCTGTACGGACCAGCATGCTAAAGTAGGGTCAAACAAGCCACATGCAACTGACATGGCACGGCAAAGCCTCCGTCGTCATTATAATTTATCATTACACATTAAAGATTCAGGCGACGATAATGGCACACTGTTTCATACCACTGCAGAAAAACCACGCGAGATATTTAAAGCCCACTTCACATTCGATGGGGAAGGTGAAAGGATTGGGGAAGGTGAAAGGATTGGGGAAGGAGCAGCCCTGAAATTTCCTGCTCATGCCGTTGCTGGCGCGAGGGCCTCCACTGGTTCCGGAGAGGCCCTCTCTAGGGCATTTTTGGCCGGAGGACCCAGAGACAAATCTATGTGACCACGGGGAGAACATGAAAACTCCAAATATACAGGTGTCAGGATCGGAATCGAACCCACGGCCGCCTGTACACCAGGTGAGCTAGTTAACATCTCGCCGCCATGCAAACTCCAAATATACAGGGGTCGGGATCGAACCCACGGCTTCGTGTACAACCGGTGAGCTAGTTAACATCTCGCCACCATGGCAACCCACTCGAGGAAGCTCTATAAAGCCCCTTCTTGGGGGTATTTTTTTTATTAACGCTTCCACGCTGACCAGATATCTTGGTATAATGCGGGAGTATACCCACTGTCTACCCCACCACACACATCGACAAACTGCAGCGTAACCCATGTGCAGTGGGTTCAATTGACGCGCACACTCAACTTGGAGGCAACACTTCATTAACACGTAACAACCAACGTGAACACTATGCATAAGGTGGTGACCACCGTTCCTAACCTATACTCGGGGAATACTGCACAGCGTGACCAAGGCAGGTGACGGGCTGCCTGGTCACTCGAGGACCGTCGATGGCGTCTTCATCCCGGGGTTGAACAGC